ACTGACCTCCAGACCTAAAGCACTTACTCAGCGATGGGGTGCCTTTCAGTGTTGTGGCTTTTATAGCCCTTTCTGTTCATTAACTCATGTTCTGTTTTCCTTGAGGACACAATGCATCAGCACTTAAAAAAAAAAAAGCTCCTGTTCTGTCATCTCTAGTCCTTGTTTACCAACCAAACAGAAAGCTAGAGCCAGCAAGATGTCTCAGCAAGTAAAGGAGCTTGCCACCAAACCTGACCACGTGAGTGCCATCTCTGGGGATCAGCATGGTAGAAGGAGAGAAGAAATAAGTGTGATTACACTTTGTTATTTTTTTTTGTTTGGGACAGGGTTTTTCTATGTAGTTCTGGCTATCCTGGAACTTCCTATGTAGACGATGGTGGCCTTGAACTCTCTCAGAGATCTGCCTGCAGTGGCCTCTACAGTGTTGGGATAAAAGTGTGCATCACAATTCTTGGCAAGAAGAAATTTTGTTTTGTTTTGTTTTGTTTTGAGACAGTGTTTCTCTGTGTAGTATTGGCTGTCCTGAACTCTTTTGTAGACCAGGCTGGCTTCGAACTCACAGAGAGCCACCTACCTCTGACTCCCTGAATGATGGGATTACAGAGAAGTGTGTACTACCTCGTCTGACTGAAGATTTTTTTAAAAAATTATTTATTTACTCACTTTACATCCTGATTGCAGCTGTCCTCCCCTCCCTGAAAAAAGAAATTTTTTTATTTTTTATTAATTACACTTTATTCATTTTGTATCCCCCCATAACCCCCCCTTCCCTCCCGGTCCCACCCTCCCTCCCCTTTCTGCATGCATGCCCCTCCCCAAGTCCACTGATAGGGGAGGTTCTCCTCTCCTTTCTGATCTTAGTCTATCAGCTCTCATCAAAAGTGGCTCATTGTCCTCTACTGTGGCCTGGTAAGGCTGCTCCCCCCTCAGGGGGAGGTGATCAACGAGCAGGCCAATCAGATTATGTCAGAGGCAGTCCCTCTTCCCATTACTATGTAACCCACTTGAAAAAAGAAATTTTAAGTTCTCTTTTAGTTTCCTGCATGTATTTATGTGTATGGGTGTTTCGTCTGCCATCTATGTCTGTGCACCACATGCATGCCTGGTACCTGCAGAAACCAGAGGAGGGCATCGGATCCCCTGGAACTGGAGTTACAGGCAGTAATGAGCTGCTTTGTGGCTGTTGGGAATTAACCCCAGTCCTGGAAGAACAGCCACGCTTAGCCATTGAGCCATCTCTCCAGCCCCTTAATTTTTTTTTTTTTTTTTTAAGGATAAGAGATGCTGGGTGCTCAGCTCTCTGACATGAGATGGAGATCATGTTCTCAGACAAAAAATATAGCCTACTATTGCTTCCTCCAAAGCTCTATGATGTCTGTTTCCACTACCTCCACCCAGAGGTCACTGAATGTCATCTCTTCGGAACAAGCTTCCTCAGGACAGCCCACTTGCCTTCAATCTCACATAGTCTCAGATTAGTCTTGTGGTGGAAAATGGTTAGGAAAGGCTGCCTGCCATTCTCCTCGCTCTGGTTGTCAAAGTGTCCTTCACTTCTATGTGATAGATGCTGACCAAGCTAATATGTATCAAGGCTCACTTGAGCTGCCACGAATGGCGATTTTGTAAACCTTATAATTCAGTGCATAAAATAAGCAAGACATGATGACGGAATGGTGGGTTGCTTCAAGATAAACAACAAACAAAATAAAGAAATTATGGTAGCTGGGCACACACACCTATAATCACTGGGCTTGGAAAAGTGGAGGCAGAGAGATCAAGAGTTCAAAATCGATTATCCTGGGGAGGTGGATAGATGGCTCAGCAGGTAAAGGCACTTGCAGGCAAGCCCAATGACCTGAGTTTGATTGCTGGAACCCACATAGTAGAAGGAGAGAACCAACTTCTACAAATTGTCCTCTGACCTCCACAGGTGTGTGGGGGTGAGCGTGCCTTGCCTCCAAATAAAAGTTAAAATTTTAAAACAAAAGACTATGTAACAAATTTGAAAAGAAAGAAAAAATCTCCTTTGGAAATTAAAAAAAATGTTTTTTTAATAAATCTACATTCCCTGTGCTCAAAAAAAAAATGTGTAATAAAGTTGAGAGAGAAAGTTTGAATTCTAGGAACTAATAAAACCAGGGGTCAGGTGTGGTGGCATACACTTTAATCCCAGCACACTGGAGGCAGAAGCAGGAAGCTCTCTCAGAGTTGGAGGCCAGCCCAATCTACATAGTGAGTTCCAGGTTAGCCAGGCTATGTAGAAAGACCAGGTCTCAAGAACCAACCAACCAACCAACCAACCAACCAAAACCAACCAACCAACCAACCAACCAACCAACCAACCAAAACCAACCAACCAACCAACCAACCAACCAACCAACCAACCAACCAAAACCAACCAACCAACCAAAACAAACCTAGTGCATCTGACCAGTGCTCAACAAACGACATTAGCAGAGTCCTGAACTGGTAGAGGGAAGGCTGGGCAGAGGTGCAGAGGGCACCACACAAGAGAAAGCCTGCAGTCCAGCAGAACAGACAGTGTTCAGTCCAGCTGAGGAAGGCAGGATTGGAAGAGAGGCCAGAATACCAAGTGGGCAGGTTCTGAGTTGCGAAGGAATTTGAACTTTAACCTGATGGCAAATGGAAGCTGTCTGGTGGAGAACAACATCTCTCAGGAACAAACCTAGCAGAGCTGCTTCGAAGCTCTCTCTGTGTCTCTCTCTGACAGATATTTTTTTCTTCTAGAAAAGCTCTCTCTGTATACAGTTGTGAACATCACACCTAATCCAGCTGTTTATGCCTTCTCTTTCTCCTACTTTTCAGATAGAGGCTTTTGAGGCTCAGGCAGGTCTTAGTGAGCGTTTGATCCTCCTGCCATCTGTGTGGTCCTGGGGCTGGAACCAAGGGCTTCAAGGTGCTAGGCAAGCACTCTACAAACTGAGCTACATGCCCCCACCCCTTTAACTTAAGACAAACTTTCACTAAGTTGCCCAGACTAACCTTGAACTTGTGATCCTCTTTCTCTGGTCACAAGTTGTGCCAACAGCCTTCGAGCTCATCTCTTTGCTTGGATAGTTTTTGAGGAGCAGGGGAGCTTTTTTCTGAGATAAGGTTTCACTTTGTAGCTCAGGCTATTGGTTATTTGGGGAGGGAGGCTTAACTCTTGTTTTTGAAACACAGTCTTGCTATGTCCAGTGCAGTCTGACTAGAACTTGCAACCTTGAACTTGCCATCCACCACCTCAGCCTCCTTAGCCACCTCAGAATCCCTGGGATTTATGCCTTCTCTGAGTAGACTGCAACAGTTTTCCTTCTTCTCTCTCTCCCTTGTGTGTGTGTAGGGGTTTGTTTGTTTTGTTTTGTTTTCGAGACACAGGGTTTTCCTGTGTAGCGTTGGCTGTCCTGGAACTCACTCTGTAGATCAGGCTGGCCTCAAACTCACAGAGATCCCCCTGCCTCTGCCTCCCAAGTGCTGGGATTAAAGGTGTGCCACCAGACCAGCCAGCAGTTTGCTTTCTTATACCACTCGCAGGCCAGTCTGATGAAGGCAGCCCTCAATTGTGACTCCCTCTTCCTAGATGACTCCAGTTTATGTCAAGTTGACAAAACCAAAACAGAAATAGAAGCAACCCAACCAAACTAGCACTCGTAATAAATGCCATCCTTCAAAACCTAAAGTGTGCAGTTGTCTCCCGTCTGGGAGACAACAAAACAGCATAAGCCAGAGTCTGGATTCTGGTAGTTATCACCACAAATTTGCACAGCAAGGGCTTTTACCTGCTGAGACATCTTACCAGCCCCATCATTGAGCAAGGCTTTATGAATGCAGAAAGGACCTTCCAAATTCCACAGGTCACGTAACTTCTCGAATCCCAGTAAGAGCACAGTACCTCAAGGCAGTTCTGGGTCAGGAACTTCCTAGAAGACACCTGGTCCTAGGACTCACATGACCAAGACTGAGGTCTTAGAATCCCTTCTGCAACTTGTCTGAAGGCAGAGGCTCAGCTGGTGCCTTCGAGAGTCCGACACAGGGGTCCCATGGCTGTCCTACCAGCTTGCCAGCCCACTGTGGCAGCAAGGCAGGAAGCCCCAAGTTAGAGCTGTCTGGCCTGACCTTATACGAAAGCACAAACACATTTAATGATTCATTCAACAAATATTAAACACCTGCTGTGTACCCTCAAGAGACTCCTGGGCTAGCTCCACCACTTAGAAGCATAGCCTTCTTTCACAGCCAGGAAATCTTTAGAGATTAACCAATCTCATCATTACAGTTGGGGAAACTGAGGCTCAGGGAGGGAAAATAATGAGTTTCAGACCACAGAGATGGACACATAGTTTTGTGTGCTAATTAAAAGTGTGTGTGTGTGTGTGTGGGGGGGTGTTCTGGTTCCCACCCACCTGAGCCGCTATCCATACCCTAATCAAGGAGGAGGCTGACTTCTAAACCCAGCGCATTCACAGATTCCTCTAATTGGCTAAAGCTGGGGATTGAATGAACCTGTGACCTCATGCATGCCGGCCCAGTGTTGTACCACTGAGCTACATTCCCCAGTTGACACCCGGTCTCAGTCTGTAGCTGAGGTTGGGCTCGAACATGTGCAGTCCTCCTGCTTCAGCTTTTTGGATTCTGGGTTTACAGGCGCGAGCCTCTACACCTGGCTCACACACCGCTTCTTCTGCACTGGGGGGATCTACATTCTTTTAAATCCTCGTTATCCAGGACAGGGCCCTCTACTTGTCCCGAGGTTTTTAGAGCTTGGGAAAAGAGCTGCATCCTGGGTGCTCTCTGGAGGCTCAGCCGCGCCCATCTCCTGCTCTTTCCTGGCAGCTGACTCGCTTCTCTCCCTCCTAAGCTTTGTCACTGTCATACCGGGCTTGGGGAGAGGGAGGAAAAAGGGGCGGGAATGTCTCGCCCTTGAAATCCCAACCGCCTTGCCATTGGCTAGGAAGCCCCCAGCCTGGCTGCGGATTGGCCACGGTGGAGGGCTTGAAATGTGGCAGAGCGCTCCGGACACCTCAGACGGACTGTGGCCATCCCAAGACGCGCCCCAGCTCGCCATGGCCCGGTTCCTCCGGGCATCCTGCCTCCTGTCCCTGCTCCTGGCCGGGTTCGTTCCGCCGGGCCGGGGACAAGAGAAGTCCAAGGTGAGTGAACCTCCAGGGCGCAAGAAGAGTCCATTGCGCTCAGGTGTCCACCGCGCGACTGGGAGAGCCACTGCTTCCCCAGAGGTGCCGGGCTCTCACTCTGCGACCCTGGTACCTGCACCTTTCCAACTCAGACCGGGGTGCTCCAGCGGGCAGAACGAACCCAGGAGGACAGTCTTCCCCGAGTTTATACTTTCTCATCTCAGGGTCGCGTTGCTACATCCCCAAAGGGACTGTCCCATTCAGAGGGTTTGGGAGACGGTGTGGTTTTGTTTTGTTTCTCCCCCCCCCCCCCCCTATAGTCAGGAGAATGCGGCTGGTGGCTATACTCCTGAAAAATTGCTGGTGTCCGGGGCCGGTGGCGGGAGCGGACAGGGGTGGGGCGCTAATAGCGTCTTCACTCATCCCAGGGCGCTGAAGGCAAAGATCTGTGACTCAACAGAGTTCTGGCTCGGAGATGCATCCCTTTCTGGGCCTCAGTTTCCCCATCATCAGGATGGTTGGAAGGCTATGGGAACCTTCCAATTGCCCTCTCCATGCGCAGCCCGCTGGCCTGCCACGGGGCAAAGAGAAGCTAGAGAAGCCAACCAGGCCAGGCAGTCTGCTGGCGCCTTGAGTATCCTAGTCTAGTTGTGGTGCCCTGAGCTGGAATGAGGGTGGGGAGGCTGAGGGCAGATGGCCTGGCATGCTTATCTCCTTGGTCAGGCCTGTGCTGGGTGGGCTCTGCAGGCCTCTCCTCTTCCCTGGGGTGAGGAGGCAGAAAGCAGTAGAGACAGGCCAAAGGAAAGAGATTGCTGTCTCCATCTTCTACACACACCTGGGAAGGCTCTAGTTTTGAGTTTCTGGATTTCTAAAATCCTCTGGGTCTTCATTTTAAGATCTCCTAAGTCCACCTCTTAGAGAGCCCCAAGAGTGTTTCCTGTTTTAAAGCACTTTTTTCCCCTCACCTCCTCAAACAGAGAGGGCACCTGTAAAGCCTTGGTTTTCTCTCCAGCCCTGTCCCTGGTCACCAGCTCAGCAGGCATTTTTCTCAGACACACACAGGACGGAGTTCAAGATCAGGGTGTGGAGTGTGTGTGTGTGGGGAACTGGGGCCTGTGCCTTCAGTGTGGGAATAGCTTGGGGTAGGGAGTGGGGAGTTGAACCCTGTCCTGAGGCTGCAGGAAAGAACTTGGGCCGTGAAACTCATCGTAGCCTTGTGCTGTCCATAGGGAGGAAGGTGAGGTCAGAGAGAAGATCGAGAATGGTCTAGGAAATTTTTAGGGTGAGGTGTGATCTTATCTCATAGCCAGCTGAGACTTGTGGTTCGTCACAGCCCAGGCATGCCCATCTGGTCTCCCAGGTCCTGGGAGGTAGCATGCTACTGCTCTGGCTTCCGGGACTCAACTACTTGCCTCAAGCCCACTTCAGGACAAGGGAACAGGGAGGGGACCTGTGCAGACCCAATGTGATACAGCCACAGGAAGAAGTCCTCTGGGCTCGAAGGGAGGGGCAATGGCAGGGAAAGCCTCTGCCTTGTCCAGTTTATAGCTGCAAAAGGCTTTGCAGAGCTGTAGACTAACAGCTGCTGACGTGGCATCCTAGTAACCGCTGGTTTCTAGGTGACTGCACAAGGCAGAGAGCATCATGGGAGCACAGAATGACATCAGGCTCAAGGGCCTCAAGTGGCCCTGAGTCCCATTCTGTCTTACAGTGGACAGGCTGGAAGCCTGAGAAGGGGGAGGGATGGTCACGTGCTGCCAAAGGCCCAGCAGAGCCCAGATGCAGGTCTCTCACCTGAGACCTCTCATGTTCACAACACCACACCAATGGGCATGGGGAGATGGAACAGGGGAAGACATGGACCAGTGGCCTAGGCAGCCAGGAAGCCTGGTTCAGTGCTCCCCCCCCCCCCCAACTCGTAACCCATTACTCTCCTCTCTTGTTCCTCAGTCCCTTTCAGTACTCTCTGGTCTCCCTTGTGGAAGAACAGGGTTTTGGGATTCTATGGACGCAGAGGGGGCTACTGTGGGAACTGAGCTGATGGATGTAATCTAAGCCTCACTCACCACAGACCACCCTCAGACCCATGGTAGCCTGGGCTCCCAGCATGCACCCCATTCTTCCCCTAAGAAAGCATGACAGCTGCCATTTCTTAGGGTAGCTAGCAGACAATTAAGGCCCCTCTTTACCATGACAGGGGAGCCTCACAGGCTCTTGGCCCTTTGCTGCAGGTAGAGTAATCTCCATGTCCTGCTGGCCCAAGGCTGTTCTGATCTGCCAACAGTGAGTGTTGGGGAGATGATTCAGTAAGTAAAATCATTGTTATGGAAGCAAGAGGCCCTGAGTTCAAATCCCCAGCATCCAGGTAAAAGCCAGTCATGGCCACATGTGACAGCAGTGGTGGGGCAGACAGACAGGCAGACGCAGGAACTCACTGACCAGCCTAGCCAAACACTGGGCACAAGCTGGGGAGGGCCAGCAACATGGCTCAGGGGTGACAATACTTTTAGCCAAGCTTGACGACTTGAGTTTGATTCCTGAGACCTACATAAGTGAATAAATCATGAAATAATTTAATAGACAGCATCTCACAATCCTCTCCTTCGGCTTCTGCATGTATCTGCATACACACACAGCCAAACAAAACAAAAACATCCTTTGAGAGGCAGATGGAATTATCCTTTAGACCAAAGCCCAAAGAATGTTTTGTTCAGGGCCACACAGCCAACGAAGATAACAGAATCTAATTCAAGGGGTTCCTCATGTTCCCTTCCCTCAAAACTATATGGAGAGGCTTGGCTTACCATTGTTTCAAAGGTCCCATTATTCAGTCAGCCAGGGATTTTTTCTCCTCCTGAGATTCAGCTTGGGGGTGGTGTGAAGTGAGGTGGGGTAACATGCAGGCAGCAGAGGTTGTATCCTGGTGTTTGTGTTGTGTTGCTCTTGTTGAGGCAGGGTGTCCCTGTATAGTCCAGGCTAGCCCTGAACTCTTCATCTCCTGCTTGGGCCTCTGGTGCTGACATTGCTGATGCCCCAAGCCTGGTGCCGTTTGCCCTTTAGGGTGGAAGTGATCCCAGCCAGGGCTTCCGAAGCCTGGGGTAGAGGTCTCCAGCTGAGCACTCAGCCCAACACTCAGCCACAGCACCTGGAATACTAGACTCCTGGAAAGAAGGGACTTTGTACTATAGTCCAGAGAGCTGTCAGGTGTCCGGGATGACCCAGCAAAGGCGGCCAGACTCACCCAAGTAGTCAGGCCTGCAGCGATTCCGTGACAGAGGAATACTACTGCACCCCACTGCTCCTCCCCCCCCCCCCCCCCAGCCAGGATGGCTCTTTCACCTACTTACGCTGAGGACCTTGCTTTGGCAACAGGTTTTCTAGAACCAAGGGGAAGAGGGAGTGGCTTTTCCCTTCCCATGTGGCTCTCCAATCTACTGAACCAAGGACCTCTCCCTGGAGTTCTGTTGTCCCTGTCGGGGGGTGAGGTGGGGTGGGGGTGGGGACAGGGTAACATCCTGCTGGCAGGCAGTGGGATCCTCTCACATCTGAGTTGAAAATAGCGAGTACAGTGTGACATGAAGGCTGGAGAAGAGAAATGGCCAGCTGCAGACAGCACTGAGCTGGTGGCAGGGCTGGAGCAGCTCCCGAGTGCTCCGGCACAGCCCGCTGTGCCCTGTGTACCTTCCCTCCTTCTCCGGGAGGCAGACTGTGGAGAAGCCGGACAGACAGGAGGGAGCATGGACATCATCACATCACTCATCTCTGTAGATGGTTCTGTCTAGACATTGTATTGTCACCCCAGATGTCACGACGGGGCCCCGTGACAAACCTTTCCATACTCTCGGATCCTGCTCTCACATCCCTGCTTCCTCCACTCATCTTTCCAGTCCTCCAGACTGGGAGGCTCTGACTCATTCTCAAAGTCTTGACACATCCTTTCTGTCCAGCGTCTCCTGTCTGTCATCTTGCACAGGCCTCCTCAGATTTGCCTGGACTTCTGCAATATCCACCCAAATCTGCTTCTCAACCCAACCCAACTGCCTATGAAATACGGAAATGATTATTGCTAACCTCAGAGTTCCACAGCACTCAGTAAGTACTTAGTGCAAATACTGAGTGCTTGTCAGGTCCTCAAGTGTCTCACAGTTCTAGTTTTTGTTGTCCCGGGTAGTCATTTCTCTCCCTGTTGGGAATCATCTTAACTGTAAAGTGGAGAAATGTCTGTCTCCACTCTAATAGTTGCCTGGTGTCTATCTTTTTCTCTTGCAGACAGACTGCCATGGAGGCATGAGTGGAAGCATCTATGACTACGGGGCCCTCACCATCGACGGGGAGGAATACATTCCTTTTAAGCAGTATGCAGGCAAATATGTCCTCTTTGTCAACGTAGCCAGCTACTGAGGTCTGACAGACCAGTACCTTGGTAAGAGCTCCCTCATCCATGCCTTGCTGCTGAGTGTGGGGTCAGTTCTGTCACTTGGGCACCCTTTAATCCCATGAGGCGCAAGGGAGAAAGGGTGATGGTGACTGAGAGACCAAAGTCTGTATCCCAGCTCCACTGTAATTTCATATCTTCTGGAGACAAGTACATAAGCCTGAGGTCTGATGGTCTTTGGGTGTGTTCTAAAGTGTTCCTAGATACCCTTCTTCGCTCTAGGGCACCTCAGCTACCTTGGCTATGTGCCTGCTTGCTTCCCTTGACTAGAGTTAAGGAACAGCAGGGGTAGCTGCAGCTCACTCTGGCTGGGAATGCCTTCTTTCCCCCTAGCCTTGTCCGTCTGTATCCTTCTCTTGGCTTCACTCTTGAGAATAGGTCCTGCTAGCTTGAAGCCCTGGAGGGAGTTGATGGGGAAGAGGTATGGGGTGCTGGGGTAGATGGTGGCATCCAACAGTTCATTGTTTTTTGTTGTTTATTTTTTCAAGACAGGGTTTCTTTGTGTAGCCCTGGCTATCCTGGAACTTGCTCTGTAGACCAGGCTGGCCTTGAACTTAAGAGATCTACCTGCCTCTGCTTCCTAAATGCTAGGATTAAAAGCATGCACCACCACTGCACAGCTCAACAGTTGAGCTCAATATTTCTCCACTTTCCAGTTACCGATGATTTTTAAGCAAAAAAAAATTTTTTTTTTTGAGACAGGGTTTCTCTGTGTAGCCTTGACTGTCCTGGACTTGCTTTGTAAACCAGGCTGGCCTCAAACTCACAGAGATCCACCTGCCTCTGCATCCCTGAGTGCTGGGATTACAGAAGTGTGCCCCGAAGCCCAGCTTCAATAGCAAACTTTGAGGACAGACTAACTCAGCCCTCCTCTTTACTCAGTATAACACACAGGAAAGGGAACGAAGGCTCAACATGTATAAACTAGGGCTACAAGGCTGGCAGTGACTGAGCCCAGCATCTGGCTGGAACTCACGGCTCCTTAACAGCAGTGTCCTCTGTCTTTTCTTCTCAGTGAGGATGGAATCAAAAGCCTCAGTTGGGAACAACTGGGCCAAAGCTTGATGGTTCTGGGGGCAAACGCTTTGGGGCCAAGCAGACCCTGGCCACCTGGCTGCCACCTGCAGGGGAGTTCCTGGATTTGCAGACAGGGTGTATATATTTCCGTAGCTCTGTGGGCAACACTTTCGTCCAGTCCTTGAATGGTGCAGTACATCTCTAAAGAGATGGGCTGGGTACTCACGCTGCACCCAACTTAGAGGTGCTGAGGAAGCTGGTAAACTGGCCAGGGCCTCTCCTGGGCTCCTGAGTTCCCAGATGGGAGTGATGTGAATCCTGCCCTCCCCACCACCCTAAGAAAGTCCTTAGCCATCTGCCCAGGGGCTGATGGAAAAGTTCTCAGCTCACAGTGAGCCTGTGACTACTGACGTGAGGAAGTAGATTCCTTCTCCCAAATCCCAACTGGCCCCAGACTGAGTCAGGAGAGGACCCGAGTCCAGCCTTGACACTGACTCACAGGGTCACCCTGTGAAAATGCTCCCTCCTCAGGTCTCAGAGGTTCCAGCAATGTGGAGGGTGGGTGGGGAGAGGGGCGATGAGGCAAGTTCTTCACCCGCTCTCTTTTCTCTCCCTGGCCAAGAACTGAATGCACTACAAGAAGAACTCGGGCCATTCGGACTGGTCATTCTGGGCTTCCCCTGCAACCAATTCGGCAAACAGGAGCCAGGCGAGAACTCGGAGATCTTACCCAGTCTCAAGTGAGTCCTCGTGGCTGGAGATGGGGCAAAGGCTTGGGAGACTGCAGTTACTGGTTGATTGAGACCCCACCAGCCACTCAGTCACTCTGCTCCCCCATCCCTACCCCAGGATGGGGTTAATGGAACAACGGGGAGGGGATAGGAAACAGAAGGCTATGGGTACCTAGTTGGGCAGCACATGATGAGTAGAGAGGAGTCCTAAGGCACGTGGGGTGTTGCAGAGAAGGGACCAAGATGGTAAATACACACTCGGCCCGGGTATGCCACCCACATCACCAGCATAAAGGATTTGCAGCCCCCCCCCCCCGCCCCCCATTTCTAAGCCATGTGTGGCTCCTTTGGACCCACGAAAGTATACTCTTCCAGGTATGTCCGGCCAGGTGGGGGCTTTGTCCCTAACTTCCAGCTCTTTGAGAAAGGAGATGTGAACGGAGAGAAAGAGCAGAAGTTCTACACTTTCCTGAAGGTGAGAATGGGTAGTCTGGAGGGACCTCCCCAGCTGCTCCCACCCCAGCCTGTGTGCCTTAGCGCCTGGGAATGTCCTGGCATTGGCCTAGTAGTCCATGAGAGGGCTTGGCAGACCCTGTGGGCCCATCACCCTGCTGTACAAGTGAGGCGGGCCCCCAGGGACATCTGAGGGGCCAGAACCTTCTAGTCACCACCACAGAGATGGGCAGCCAAGTGCTCTAGTCCCCAAACTGGGGGCCTTCCCTCAGTGCCAGAGAGTTTTCTCCCAGGAAGGCTGAGAGGGAGGGTGGTGGTCAGGAGCGGCCACAAGTCAGACTGGTGGCCTCTCACCCCTGCTCTAGAACTCCTGCCCTCCTACCACGGAGCTCCTGGGCTCACCCGGCCGCCTCTTTTGGGAACCCATGAAGATCCATGACATCCGCTGGAACTTCGAGAAGTTCCTGGTGGGGAGAGATGGCAAACCGGTTATGCGCTGGTACCACCGGACCACAGTCAGCAATGTCAAGATGGACATCCTGTCCTACATGAGGCAGCAGGCAGCCCTGGGGGCCAGAGGGAAATAACTGACAGCCCCACCCCATTCCCTGTCCATCACCCAAGGGCTGGGAGGGGCTCTTCAGGAAGGAACCCACATTACTATTCATTCTACACTCACTCCTGACCCCCTCTCTAATTACATAAAAGACAAGCCTGGCACGACAGTGTGTCCGTACACAATTGTCCCAGTGTGTGCATGGCTACACAGCCATGTTTCTGCCTGCTTGATATCCAGGCATGGACCATCCATGCTCACAGCTTGGCACTGGGGAGTAATAACAGCCTTATTTTTTTTCAGTTTTCTGTTCCAAATAAGCCCAGAGGAAACACCAGTTCTAGTCTAATAGTCCTGCTCAAACCTGGACATCTCTCTTGGGAGAGAGAGTTGAGTATCCCCCACAACTACACTGCCCACTTCTTTCATCCTTCCTGAAGGGCCCTCCCAAGTCCCCAACCCCATCCCACAGTGCTCCTGAGAACAGCCAAGACATCCATGAGTGTGATAGCCATGTACCCCAAGTCGGGGATGGTGTCTCCATGAAGGAGGGGCCCGAAGCCCTTGTGGGCGGGCCTCCCCTGAGCCTGTCTGTGGGACCAGCCCTTAGTGCATTCAGGCTCTGGCTCCCAGGCAGAGATACTACCCCTGATCCTCTGGAGGACATGCTATTCTCTCACTTTGTCCACTGGCATCTCTCACACCATCTGCCCAGTAAAGGCCTTTCTGCAGCAGCTCAGCCTACTTGGTATTTCTTCAGTGGTGGTTTCCTGGCATGGGCAGTGGGGCCTGGGGATGGACACAGAAAGGGTGGAGGGAGGAGGAAGATAAACAAGGTACACAGGGCGTGCTTTGGGGCCTGTGATTTGGCTTCTATTTAGGTCCATACTGCAGCTCTTGCTCAGCCACTGGAGTCTGTAACCAAGCTCACATCGGCTCATTCCTACCCACCTTCTTCAGGGCACTGAAGGCTGAGAGAGGGTGTCATTTCTGAAGGATGGGAACTAAGGCTCACTTCAAATCCTGATTCCCTACTGAGGATCTTCCCTCCACCCTTGGTGCCCCTAAAATGGTAGCAACATTCTCATGGCTATGCAGGAAAGGAATGCTGATAGAAGAACCAGAACCAGAAAAACAAAACCCCAACTGGCCGTGAGGGCCTGAAAAAATTACCAGGCACAAAATGTCGATCCTTAAGTTGGATTTATGTCCAAGATTTGTGCAAACAGCTGCCTAGCAGCAGACAGCTACCTTAATACAGACCTCTGGCACCATAAACATCTAACTGTGGGGGCCAAAGGCAGCGCCAGGCTGGGGCCCTTCAGCAGACATGGCTGGTGTGGCCTTCATCCCAGATCACGGTGGCTCTCAAGAGGCTGCCATCGGTACAGTAGAGAGCATGCTGGCATCAGAACATCCCACTGCTCTCTTCTGCTCTAGAGACAAAGCCCTTTTCCCATAATTCCTCACAGAGGGGTAAGAAGGGGGTCGTGGGGCAGATCCTGCTACTGAGCTTGAAGCAAAATTTACACGTGCACAAGAACTGGGTGTGGTCTCTGGAGAGCCTAGAGCCAAGTCTGTGAGGTTCTGAGAGGAAGGGGTCTTCTTGGTTGCACTCCACTGTTAGGACGGAGGCCAGCAGCCCCAGCAACAGAGGGCAGGTCAAAGCCAGGCAAGGTCCCTTTGCATCCAGAAGAAACTGGTGGAGGCCTTGTGGGTTGATTCTCCTTGGTCTTGCAAACAGTTCCGAGGTGGGGCTGGGGATGTGGGCCGTCTGCTCCTCCCAGCCTCTGCTCTGCCAAGGCTTGGGCCACACAACATGCACATGTCCTCTAGAGTCTCGGGATTCTGCCTTTAGCTGGCTCTGCAAGACGAAGGTGGAGCCACGTGACCCAATGGGGTCTCACTGAGGCCCCGCACAGTCATTTTCTGCAGACTCTAAATAAACAAAAGGTTTGAAGCTTCAAGATCATGTGGTCTGGTCAGTCTCACATGGACAATTCAGGCCTCCTCCCCAGTGTAAACAACAGCTTGTTATTGGATGTTGCTGAGGGCCAGGCTGTCTCTCTCGGGCATTCATCATGCAGTCTGCACTCAGCCCTGAGGAGCGCGTCATTTGTTACCTCTGTAACAGAGGAGGGAACTAGGATAACAAGTTACAAAATCCTGTCCCAAGTCCCAGATTTATAATGTTCTGGAGCGGGAATTTGAATTCAGTCCACCAGCCTCCAAATCCCAAAAGTAAGTACTGGGAGAGGGGTCAGCCCAGCCTACCATGCTATCCTCTGCCACCCACTGAGCCCCAAAGGACTTCAGTGACCCTCTGAGGAAGTGGCCAGCCAATCCAATCCCTTCTTCCAAGCACCAAGTTTTCTGGCCCCACCTGAGTCTGTCTGCAGCCTCTGTTCACACTACCTCCTGACAGGGCTCGCCTCATTTCTGCACAACTGTGACTTTTTCTAGGAAGTCCCTCTTCATGCTGAGACGGACATGTCCTCTCTGTTGTACCTATCCACTTTTCACTATGGCCTTCCCAGAGTCCCACAGGCTCACTGCTTCCTGTAGAGACCAAGGACCCATGCCTACAGACTAGCTTGCAGCTCCAGAGCCTTTAACCTCTGTAATGGCAGACTCTGGCCAGATGGAGTTTCCCAGTGTTCCAATCTGGTCATGTCACTGTGTTTTAAAACGTTCAAGGACTCTACACTACTCTCAAGATTCAGACCAGCCCTCCTATCACATTCTGCAAAGGCCTTACCCTGTGGGGACTGCTGACATCTCTTACCCCACCTTGCCCTGCTCTCTTACCCCTCCTTGATCCTGGCTCTCTCAGATGCTTAAATCACCCACTTCCCTTCACAACTAATAAAACATTATGACATGGATTTTTTTTTTTTTTCTTTTTGAGACAGGCTTTCTTTGTGTAGCCTTGGCTCTCCTGGACTCACTTTGTAGACCAGGCTGGTCTCTGCCTCCCTGAGTGCTGGGAATGACTTGGATCTTAAATGTTTTGTTTTGAGACAGGGTTTCTCTGTATAGCTCTTGCTGTCCTGGAATTACTCTATAGATCAGGTTGGCCTCAAATTCAGAGATTCATCTGTGGGGATCAAAGGCGTGCACCACCACCAAGTGCCTGGCTTTAAAAGAGAGACATTTAAGAGCTTAGTCAGTGGCTAGCCCATGGTGCTCTCACAATAGGACAGTGAGGGGGAAATCAAGGTCACCAGGCAAGCACCCTTGAAGGGGAGCCTGAGGTTTTAGCCCTTCTCTCTTCCTTGTTCCCTGGTAAACACCTGCTCTACTATATACTCCTACTATAAGAGGCAGAACCACTATAGACCCCAAGGTGTCAACTGACCATGGGCTGAGACCTCTGAAATTCTGACTCAAAAAAACATCTTTCCTTCAGATAAGCAGATTGTCTTAGGTGTCTGGGCCCACAGATGGAAAGCTGAGTAACATAGAAAACTGCTGACCAAGCAAGCTGCCGATCAAGGAAATTGCTGACCAAGACAGGGATCAATCATCATGGAGTCTATGATGCAGGTCAGTGTCCCAGGAATGCCTAGATGATCCCTCCGATCGAGATGAGATCAGTGTGCCTTTAGGTGGGGTTGGGCAGAGAACTACTTTCAGATGCTTCACCATGTTCAGACTCAGTGCCCTTAGGCTCCCTTGCCCGTTGCCACTGTGACTCTAGCAGGCTCTGGCACAGTTCTAATTGGCAGATGTTGACATTGTCCACATAATGGTCGTTTGGCAGGAATCCATAATGCCAAGTGTTATGGGGTCAAGGCTTCCACCCAGATTTCAAAAGAAGGTCTGGGGACTGGGGCAGGCAGTGTATGTGGCAGGTTGCCAGTGGGCAACCCCAGAGAGGGGGTAGTAGGTGAAACTGTGAGGATGAAATCTAAGCTGTCCTGAGACACCAGGAAATGAAAGATGCCAGCAGTGTGGCATGCAGGTCAGTGGACACCCATGGGCAGCAAGCACAGCCAGCTAAGGTCACAGCCCAGAGCTGTGGAACTTGTTTGTTCTCCCGGGTTTCAGTATTATTCTGGTCTGATCCATTCTTGTCTATGACACTCGCTATCCCTTCTGAAACAGGGATATTCACTCTGTGTCTGGTCCAACACTGTATACTGAAGTGTGGAACTTTCTCTTTGGATTTTTGTTTTGACTACACAGTCTTGAACTTGTTATGTAGTCAAGGATGGCCTTGAACTCTTGATCCTCTTGTCTCTACTTCCCAACTGATGGGAATATAGTAGAGGCCATCATGCCTGGCTCTCTTTGGTCTCTGTGAGGGCTCACACATGGTGAGTCTGCCTTGAGCCTTACCGACTGGGCTTCTAGGCAATGCTAGAAGAGCCAAAATCATGGGGACTCTGGGAGATAGCCTACGTGCGCTTTACACTGTGAGACAGACACAAGCCTCGGAGCCAGAGGCAGAATGTCCCAAATGCCTGAGTCACCAGCCCGTGGATCGCCAGGAGTGGGGCAGAGCAGAGGGACGCTGGGTCACTGTAAGCATGCCCCTGAGAGGATATAGGGTCTCCCCGCTCCTCCTCTTTTATTTATTTATTTATTTTTTAATTTTTTTGCGTCCTGGCCATCATGAGCACAGAGAGCACCTCTCTGTGCTCTCCTGTCATGATGCACTGGGCAACCATGGGCTCAACGTGCTGGGCCGAGTAACAGTGACTGAGATCTATGAAATCTTGAGCCAAACTGAATCTTTCCTGTTTGGAAGCTGACTGTCTCAGACATTCTGTCCCAGAGAGAGAAAGCTGAGTAATACATGAGGTTTTCATGGTTGTCATTTTTTCTCTGCAAAAATATCCCCCACCCCTCTGGCTTCTCAGCTAGGATGTCACCGCCTCCACAAAACTCCCTTGGCCCTGCTCCAAATCCCACCCCTTGACCTCTCTTGCAGAAACCTGCTCTTCTGGGCACTTGGGTGCAACCCGGCTGCCTATGTGAGCCCTGAGATTCACTTCTGCCTCTCTCACTAGGACAGCAGCACGTCTGCTTCCACTTCTGAGCAGCACTAGCTCCTGGCACAGTGCTAGAATTGTGAATGCCTGCTTCTTCAGTCATTTCATCTGTCAGTCAACATCTTTTCTCTCTCAACACTATTTCAGGAAGCTGGGCCTCCATGCCACCAAGTTCACAAAATAAGTTTCTGCAAATTGGATCGCTTCTTGTGGGCGAATGTCCTCTCCACCAGGGGAACCATACTCACCTGGTTCTGCAGGCCTGTCTGGGTCCCTCACTTGGGAAGTCTGATTTCGAATCCCTGCACAGGGTGGACTCCAGGCATACTCTGGCTGCAACAAGATGGGTAGGTAAGAATCCACAACTGAGTCAGGTGTGGTGCCCAGCACGCTGGAGGCAGAAGCAGGGGGATTTCTGAGTCTAAGTCAGCCTCATCTACAAAACGAGTTCCAGATCAGCTAGAGCTATACAGAAAAACTGTGTCTCAGAAAACAAAAGCAAAATAAAACAAAAATAATCAAGTTGGTTGGGCATGGTGGTGCACGCCTGTAATCCCAGCACTCAGGGAGGCAGAGGCAGGCAGATCTCTGTGAGTTTGAGGCCAGCCTGGTCTACAAAGTGAGTCCAGGACAGCCAAGGCCACACAGAGAAAGCCCATCTTGAAAACAACAACAACAAAAAACACCAACTCCCCTGCCTCCTGCAAAAAAGCATAAAAAAAAAAAAAAGAAGAAAGAAAAGAGTAAAGAACCCACAACCACACTGCAGAGCCACAGCCAGAACAGTCCTAAACACACAGGAACAAGGCGCCAAGTCCTAAGGGTTACACGTTACTTGGCCGAATGTAGCTCTAAGACCATGCCTCCCTCCCTCTCTTGTTTTTTTTGAGACAGAGCCTCACTCTGTAGCCCAGGCTGGCCTCAGACTTGTGGGCAGTCTTCTGCCCTCAGCTGTACTGGGGTTACAGCATGAGTCACCACATCTGGCTTACGCCAATCTCTTAAGCACGGCATCTATGCCAGTGTTTAAGTGTGTATGAGGGGAGAAGCTGTACACCTCAGGAGGCGACTATATCCACACCAAGGGAAGAGCCAGGCGCACCTGAAGTGGGGCAATCATGGAGACTGCAGAGGAAGGGGCAGGTGACTATAGAAGGTAGGAGAAAGAGGAGCAAAAAGGAGAGGAGCCAAAATAAGAGGAGGAAAGGAAAGGAGGGAGAGGAGGAAGAGGGCAGGGGTAAGGGACAGAAGCATGGTGAAGGTCAGATCTGACTCAGCTGCAGGTGATGAAACTCCAGAGCAAACTTTGATATCCAGCTGGAGACTCAGTGCCAGCCCTCCCTACCAGGCCTTCTCCCCTTGACACGAATGGCGCTAGCAGACAGAGGCTGTGGAGCCCTGACCACAGGGAGAGCAGCCCAGGGCCAGGCCCGGATACCTGTCCGCAACCACCCTGTCTCCGAGAGACCTCCCGGACAGCAGTTTCTCACCTCCCCCCACCCCCGCACCTTGGCCTTCCTTTCTGTCCTACAGACAGAATCTGTAGGAAGGAGGAACATGAAACTCACCAGATGGAAGAGGCGAGAGTTGGGGAGGGGGGGCGGGTGCTCCATGGGCATAGGGGCTGGAGGGTAGCGGATTTGGGACCATTCCTTGTAGGTGTGGTGAGGTACCATGGCTGGCATGGGTGGGTAGGCATAGGGATAGGCCCCACAGAGGTGCTCGGGGTGGGGTTCCACGTGGTAGCGCTCTCCTGAGGCCTGCAAGAAAGACTCGTATTTGCCTCTGGCCTGCCACCAGTCAGTGGCACCACCTTGTTGCCCTGTAGCCAGAACCTAAGCTCTCAAAGGCAAGAGAGGCGCAGGCAGAGGTCTGGGGACCTGGTTATAGATGATGGATAATGACAGTTAACAGGGACTGCTCCGGTGGCACTTAACTGGCAGAATGCCAGCAACATTTCCCATGGGAGAGTCAAGACAGTGCGAGCTGCCTGTTCCCCCCAGCTGCTCACCTTCGCTTTCCTCTTCTGCTGTTTGGCGGCTTCTTTGGCCTTCTCCTCATCTTTGAGTGCTTTGAGCTGGAGGAAGAGGGAGAGAGGCCTGATGTATGTAAGTGGTTCAATGCCAGGTGTAGGCCTAAGATCTCACCACCCTGAGGGCAGATGGTTGAGGCCCAGGCTACCACACAAGCTTGGGAAGTCCCAGGGAGGGCACTGAGGTGCGCAGCAGAAGCTCAGTGGTTAGGGGATCCTGCTCTTCATGGGTGGCCTGAACACAGGTTAGGAGGGCTGTCGAAGCACTTCCCTGCCAGCATCTTTTCATTCTACTCTATTATTTCATTCCTCTAGGCATCAACACTGATGATGAGTCAGAGCTAGAACACCTTATCGAGTTAGACCTTGACACTGTACAAAGTTCAGAGGACAAAGGGCTGGCAGACAGACAGAGCTGGACAGAGTCCAGGAAGTCCCCAGGACTCTCTGACCCATAAGGCCCAGGGTGGTGCTCTCACCTGGGCATTCGTCAGGGTGACCTGGGCCTGCAGCTTCTCCACTTGCTTCTTTAGCTCCTCCTTCTCTTCGTTCATGCGTTCACGGTCACTCCGTTCCCTCTGGAAGTCCTCCTCAAAGATCTTCACCTGGTGGGGATGAGGGGGGGAGAGGGGGTCACGCTGCTAGAGGCTGCACTATTCTATTTGGATTCCATGCTTCTCACTGGTATGTTGGGGAAGAGCTGGGAGCACTGGAGATTGGAGTAGGGCACCTCGAGACCCAAATCCAACGTTGCCAGGATAATTCTGTGTTCCTCTAGCTCACACTCAGAACTTTTAGACAGGACATCATTTGAACAAAGGGATCATGGGCTTAAAATGAAAAGTAGAAACTGACCAGGCCCATAGAGAATGGAGAGCAGAACCAGCATGTGCAATGCTGTCTGGCTGTCTGGCTGGCCCCCAGCTCTCGGGCCCTCACCTGTTGTTTCAGCAGCTCATTCTGCGTCACCAGCTCCTGCTTCCTCAGGTGGACCCCAACCCCTTCTGGGCTCCCAAAAGCTGGAGGTGGAGATGACGGAGAGGCCTGGATGCTGAGGGCCTCCTCCAGGGCCTGGGGTCAGAGAAGAGACAGGATCAGCAGGAGGCATCCCTGGAGGTCAGGCCATCTGAAAACAGCCCATGGAGGGCTCTTTCTTACAGTACCATGAATGTAACTGTTAACCCCAGCAGCAGTGGTCCTCAACCATACCTACTCATCACCGCTGTACATGGGCCACGGCATTGACCGAAGCCTCTTCATCATGCTGTAGGATAAAGGCTAGGACCTCATCCCTGCTTTACACGTTTGAAAATCGAAGCCCAGGGACCAACTGCAACTTGGCTGAGTGTCCCGGGTTTTGTGTTTTTTTGTTTGGTTTTTTTTTTTTTTTTTTTTTTTTGGGTCAACTCGACATGAGCCAAAGTCATTTGAGAAGATGACACCTCAACTGAGAAAATGCCCCAACCACACTGGCCGATAAGCAAGCCTTCGAAGCAATTTCTTGCTTGGTGATTGATATGGGAAGGTCCATCTCACCGTGGGTAGTGGCACCCTGGGCTGGTAGTCCTGGAGTATATAATAAAGCAGGCTGAGTGAGGAGCAAGTCTGTAAGGACTATTCTTCCATGGCTCCTACTTCAGCTCCTGCCTCCGGATTCCTGCCTTGACTTCCCTCAGGGATGGACTGAGGGACATGACAGTTATTCAGTGAAATAAACCCTTTCCTCTCCCAGTTGCTTTTGGTCATGGTGATGTATCACAGCAACTGGAACTCTGACGGAGACTGCTGAGGTCGAACAGCTAATGAGTGAGCATGACGATCCCGACCCAGCATGTGCTCTTAAACCTGCATGCTAACCTGAGATCTCCACGTACAAAGACTTCTAAACAGACCTAGCTCAACAATTCACACCCTAGACCTTGAAAGCTTAGCTCTCTGAGAGGAGCTGCATCTCTCACAGCTCCTGCAGGATTCTAAGCTTCAGCAATCCATCTTGTCTCTAGTCACATGAGCCTGGACTGCAGTTTCTACTTAGTTTATTTTACCAGGCAACCCTGTAGACCAGTCACGGCCAAAGCTGGGGGGAGGGGCAGTTGGGTGGTGGTGGCACACGCCTTTAATCCCAGCACTCAAGAGGAGGCAGAGGCTGGCAGACACAGAGCAAGTTCAAGGACAGTTAGGGCTACACAGAAAAACCCTGTCTGAAAAAAAAAAAAAAAAAAAAGGACCTATGCCCTCTCACTATTTTCCTTCTTGTCTACAGAATGCTCCCATCTTCCGAGGTTCCCTTCACTGCTTTCCACCAACCCAAGTCACATGATAATTTGATAATTTACAGCTCTGACCATCTCAGGGCTAGCTATTCATTACCACCTGGACTTTAGCCCCTAGACATCAGGGACTTTCAGTGACAGGAATCTTACACTGCCTTCAAGAAATGTGTGTGTGTGTGTGTGTTTGTGTGTTGTGTGTATGGCATACACAGGACAGCCTGTTAGCAAGAGTGAGAAAAAGCTGCTGCTACCCTAGGACCACAGAATGGTGCCACCAAATAAAGATAAAAAAAGATCCAGGGACGGCTTTGCTGAGCATATGACATGCAAACTTGAGTAGGCCAGAAGGCCCTCGGAGGAGGCCGAATGTACAAAGGGCCACATGGGAGGCAGGAGTGAATCCACAAGAATGGGGCTGGGTCACTCAGGGTGTGTGGGGGCAGGGAAGACAGGAATTGTGCCTCTTGCCCTCTGACCAAGGGTCACATCTCTGATTTGGGAGTGCCAGCAGAAGGGTGGGCCCTGCAGCTGAGCTCATCTTGAGCTGCAGCCTTCCCCCATTTGGGGAGGAGTCCTAGTACCCACCTTATTGAGCCGCTGGATCTCCTTTTCCTGGTATTCTCGTTGCCGGGTGAGTGGGCTCAGCTGATCCTGCAGGTATTTGACCTTCTGGCGCAGCTCCTTGGCCTCCGATGTCAGCTGTTCCTTGTCAGTCTGCAGAGGAGAGTGCAGGCTTGGTAAACATGGACTCTGCAGGAGGCCAGGACTAACTGACCCATGCCCTGGCTCTCCCTCCCTCCCAGCAACCACCTCACAGTGCTTGTCTGCAAGAGGCTGGCATCTTTGAGAGTCTGTATGTGTTGCTCAAGGAAGAGATGCCTGGCAGAGTGGAAGGCCCTCATCTCTCTCACCAACTGGCAGAGACCCTGGGCCTCACACAGGCCCTCTTAAATAAGCTTCCTAAATACTAGGGCTGATGGGACCTTAACAAGTCACAGGGGACCTCATGAGAGCTGTGAGTCCCAAAACTGGGTGTAAACATTGTCTGTGAAATCCTCTCAGGAGAGAAGTCCCCATCTCCACCAGATTCACAAAATGAAGAATACCACAGTCTTGTAAGGACCTCAGCATGTGAGTGTAGAAGAGAACATGCTCAAAGATGTAAGTGGGACAGGAGGAGGCCCTCCAGGGACGCGTACAACGTGAAAGGTCACTACAGCTGAGGGGTGGAAGCTTGCAGGCTTCTGCACCACACAGCCACAGCTGGAATGATGAAGGGGCACCGACCCCCTCTGCTCAGTGAGAAACAAATGTGTGTGTGGTGACTTCCTGCAGAGCACATAGAAAGCTGGGGCAGAATTCAAGGTCCCCATTTCCATTCCATTTATGTCAAAGGAAGAGTTTCTCTGCTTTTTACATTCTCTTTTACTTATGCATGTGTGTGGGCATGCATGTGTGGAGGTCAGAGGACAACTTGTGAGAGTCGGTTCTCTCCTTCTACCACGTGGGTCCCAGGATCAAACTCAGACTGTTAGGCTCGGCAGCAAGTACTTTATCCACTGAGCCATCTTGCTGGCCCAAATATTCTTCTCTGACTGGGAATCAAACTGAGCTGCAGTGGTAAAAGTACCAAACGCTATTTACCAGGACAGGAAATGGATTATTTACTTTTCCACGGGCTGAGTTTCATGTATGCCAGGGAACTGTCGTGTCACTGAGCTATGGCCCCAACCACGCAGCCCTCATTTTTGTTATTTTTCTATTTTAAGATAAGGTCTTACTAAATTGCCTAGGCAAGCTTGAACTCAATCCATAGCTTGGGAGGCTCTAAGCTTTGGTGATCTTCCTGTCTCCGCCTTCCAAGAAACTGGGATTGTAGGCCTACACTGTGACTCCTAGCTAGGCAAGAGTTTAAAACAATGGTTGGGCCGAGAGTGGTGGCACACACCTTTAATCCTCACAGTCTGGAGTGGTTCTCTGAGTTTGAGCCCAGCCTGGTCTACATAGTGAGCTCCAGGCCAGCCTAGGCCACATAGCAAGACTCCTGCCTCCAAAATAAAAACAAAAACAAACAAACAAATATTTAACCAGTGGATGGCAGTACAGCACTAGGAGCAGGCACATCTATAAAAAACCTGTATTGTCAGCAAACGTATGTTTTGAAAAAAGGTCTAGGAGCTAGAGATGGTTCAAGTGGTTACAAGACTTGTTGCTCTTGAAAGGACTTGAGTTCAGTTCTTAGCACTCACAAGGTGGCTCACAAACATCTGGAACTCTAGTTCCACGGCATCTGATGCCGTCTTCTGGCCTCCATGGGACCAGGCACACATGAGGTGCACATATACACACGAAAGCAAAATACTCAATACACATAAAATAAATCTAGAAAAAAATTTTTAACTGATGTTACGGTTCTGAAGACCAGAGTCTGGGGAAGGGGTGGGGAAGTATTCCAGGAAAGGATTTAGCTCATCCATATGTGGATCAGGGGACAGACTGAGGCAGGTCAGTGCTCATCCTTCCTGCATGGCCCTCAGTCAACAGTCTACACATCAGAAGGTGAGTGGCCTCTAGTCAGAGGGGACTCAGTGCAGCCTAGGCCAGGACATATGGCTCCTGCTTAAGACTGTCGGACAAAGACTGCTCTCGACCACAGAGTTCCCATCTGCAATGCCAGGCTTAACCTGGGAGGGTCCTGCCCTCCTCCAGTGGACAGGACAGAACTGTCAGGTTCCAGGGATTGGCTTCCCTTGTAGACCTGAGTGAGCAAAGGAGACCACAAAGCCAAGGTATCTGGCTGTGAGTGCCATGCTAGTGTGCTCAGAAGAAAGTACAGTGTCTCTGCTATCCAGTCCTCTAAGGGAGGGGGTAGTCACAGACAGAGGCTACGCTGGAATAAGGCCTGGCTGTCACATGCTGATGGAAGGGCCTCTGAAATGCAATCCGTGTTGAAAATATCCGCTTTAAAGCTAGGCAAAGCAGCCCAAACGTAGCTTCATGACAGGAAAGACCATCACCCTTATCCCTAAGGGTCTAGGAGCCAGGTGGCCTTTCTTCTGTCAGTTGCTTCAGGACTCTGGAGGGCCATCACTGGCACCAGTCATGGGAGACAGAGCAGAGGCCATTTCTTTATAGAATACTGCTCCATAGCACAGCCAAGATCAGGTCCCTTCCGCTCAGTCTCTGATCAGTCCCCTTCTTTGTTGTAGAACTTAACACACTTTTACTTATGAGCCTCTAACTGGTCACTCAGCATCTCTTCTCCAGACAGGGTAGAGCAGACTGGTTTCCCCTGATTCTTTCTAGCACAGTGCCTGGAGGGGCTGGGATGACTGGATAAATGAATTCCCTCTATTTTAGGCCCCATACTACTCTGAACTCTGAACAGCACCTCGCCCCATCAAGGCCTTTCTGTTTTAGGATACAAGGCCTTTTTATATTTTATTTTGACAGTCTCATATAGCCCAGGATGGCCTCAAACTCACTATGCATTCAAGGATGGCCCTGAACTTCTGCACTTCCCTCTGCATACTCCCATGCCTGGTTTATGTAGCACAAGGGATTGAACCCAGGGCCTTTACCAACTAACTGCTAGCTCCAGCCTTGCTGCATAGGTCAGGCTGGGCTGTAACTTTCTATCCTCCTGTCTCAGCTTCCTGAGTACTGGGATTGCAGGTGTGAGCCTACCACGCTCCATCTGTATGTTTGTATATCACATACTTTTTTCTATAGTTCTTAGGATTTAAGATTTTAACTGATCAGGGGCTGGAGAAGTGGCTCAGTGGCTAAGGGCTCAGGGCTCTGGCTACTCTTTTAGAGGACACAGGGTTTGATTTCTAGGACCCACATGGTGGGCTCACAACCATCTATAACTGCAGTTCCAAGAGATCTGATGCCCTTTTCTGGCTTCTGCATGCACTCGGCACACACGGGGTACAGGGGCATAAATGCAGGCAAAACTAAACAAAACAAAAGTAAATTAAATATATATATATATATATATATATATATATTTCAGCCAGGAATGATGGTGCATGCCTGTAATCCCAGCCCTGGGGGAAGCAGAGGGAAGCGGATCACTGTGAGTTCAAGGCCAGCCAAGGCTACACAGAGAAACTCTGTCTTGAAAAAAAAAATTTTTTTTTTAATTGATCAAAAAGCTTTGCAAAATGCAAGCAAAAAAAAAAAAAAAAAGGGGGGGGGGGGGAGCAACAGTTATTCCACCTTCTCAATTTTACGAGGATAAACGCCAGAGGACACAAAGCGCTTGACTGCGACCCTGGCTCACTGAGCCCAGGAACTCTGAGAGGGAGCCTGGAACCTCAGAGACTTGTGGCCTGATCACACTTGCCTCTTCCATCTCGATCTTGGATTTGGCCAGGAGGAGCTTCCGGTCAAAGTCACGCTGCTTCTGCTCGCGCTCGGCCTCCAGCTCAGTCACCTGTTTCTGCAGGTCCACCAGCTTCTGGCGAAGCTCTGTGATCTGGGGGAAGGCAGAGAGGGCGTGTGAGGGTGGGAGGGCAGCACGCACCAGCTGTCCTGCCACCATGCCCACCTCAGCCCTCCTCCTCGAGCCATGCTCGGCTCATCTCCCAGGAACTCCACCTTCTGCTCATACTGCTGCTTCATGGACCGGAAATGCTGGTCCCACTGCTTGTTCACTTCCAGCAGCTGTGGGCAGGCAGGTACTGCGGTTAGAAATACACGGAAGGACTACCAGATACCCACCTCATGGCCCAGCTTCCCAGGTGCCCAGAGCACGTGCAGCTCAATATCTAGGCATTGCCTCAATCTCCCACTGGTCAAGAGCTCCCTGCTGCCCCACCTTTACCCCAGGTGCATTTCACCCTTGCTAGGAAAGCAATAGGGAACACTGAGGCCTGGAAACTGTGAGACGCAAACACGATTCTTCAGAGGGCAATCTGAAAAAGGTGTGACAACCTCAGGTTTTCACTGTCTTTAACACAAATTATTCCACTCTGAAAAGTTTAACCAGTGGAAATATTAAAACCAAGGGCTGAGGTGTGTCTCTACAGGAGAGCACTTGCCAAGCCTGCACAAGGCCCTCGGTTCAATCCTTGGTATAAGAAGAGAAAAACACTTTAGCCAAGTGTGCAAACATCCTTAAAAACTAATCAGCCAGACATGGTGGCCACACCCTTATCCCAGCACTCAGGAGGATCTCTGTGAGTTCGAGGCTACCCTATTTACACAGGCTACCCTATTTATACAGCGAGTTCTAGAACAGCCAAGGCTACATTGGGGACCCTGTCTCAAACCAAAACCAAAACTAAAATAAAATGAAACTCTCCTTCCGTGTATGTGTGTCCAAAGGTCAGCTTAGCGTAGGACATGGGTTAAATCACATCATACACAGATAATGCACAGCCATTAGGAAAATAAGACACTTAATACATTCTCTCAGCTTTAAGATAATGCTAATTATAAGGCATACTCTTGACAGAGCAATTACCCAATCAGCTCCATATCATTAAGTAAATAAAATGAGGGATGATGGGAGAAGATACTTCGATTTCAGACATACTACCAATGACAAAAGTACTAAAAAAAACAAAAAGGAACTGGCTTATGCTGTAGATCTGAACAGATATGCTGAGATAATTTTAAAAGAAAAAATTAATTTGAAAAGTAGTATGTGTCATTTTATTTTTCTGCATTAAAACAAAACAAAACAAAAACAAAAACCCTGAATACAGGGTTTGTACATTAGCTACTTAGAAGGCTGAAGAAAGAGGACTTTGAGGTGCATTCAAGGTGAATTCAAGGTGAGCAGAGGCAACTCCGTGAGGTCCCAACTTCAGTTCCTATTATCACAAAAAGCTAAAACAAAAATAACCCCAAGGGAATGCAGCGAGCTGATGTCAGCTGCAGCTATCTCTAGGGAGATCCTTGATTTATTTTATAATGGGCATTCTTCAGTTCTGAGATACGAGTAAAATACATCTAGACTATGTGTGTCAGCAAGCTTTCAGATGTGTGTGAAGGAAGAGAGGCAGCAAAGAAGAGGTTAGGGAGGGAAGAAAGAGGTTAGGCAGCAAAGAAGAGGTTAGAAGAGGTTTGAGAAGGAGCCTAGAGAGGAGGGACAAGGACAGGCTACTGCCCTGGGCTGGAGATGGGGAGGGGCTCGTGAGACACAGAGTGCTGCTACCAAGGGCATAGGCACACTCCATCTCCCTGTTTCTCCCACCCAGCAGCTACCAGAGTAAGTGTCACAGCCATGACCTCCTCCTTCTGGAAGCCCATGGGGAACTTTCCCCTTTGCTGATGTGTTTCCTTCACTGATGGACTCCCGACACCGCAGCCCTGTCTCCAATGCTGATACTGGCCTGACCTGCCACAGCTTTACCCCGCTATCCCGTTTACCTAAACCTTCCTACGCTCCCCTTTTGAGTTATGTGCACACACGTGTGCAGGTTTGTGCACGTGTGTGGGGGCACTCCTGGAGGCCAGAACAGGAGGTAGATCTCAGGAGCTGGAGTACAGGCAGTTGTGAGCCTACCACAAGAATCCTGGGAACTGAACCCAGGGTCCTCTGAAAAAGCAGCATGCACTATTACTACTGAGCCATCTTTCCAGCTCCCAAAGCTCCCCAAACAATTCAGTGATCTGTCTGGTCGATCGAGAGAGGACTGAGACATCTCCCATGGGTAGATGGTCCAATGGTTTCCTCAATAACTCTCCAAGATGACCTGGAATCAGTGGGAACCAGGGAGCCAGGTAGGGCCTTCATCCCTCTGGTGCTCACTGACTACCCTGTGCAGCCACCTACCTCCATGCGTTGCTGTTCCAGCATCTTCACCTTCTTCTCAGATGCGCCCAATACCACCCCCATCTCGGGGACTTTATCTGCCATCACACTGGCCTGAGAAGAAACAAAGAGAGACTTCACCAGAGTCTCGGATAAAACTTCACTCCCCAGACTGCTGCCCTTCTTGGACCGCAGCCCCCTTCTCCAATCTCCCTGCTCCCTTCACCCAGCAGCCACCTGAAGTGTCACAGCCATGACCTCCTCTTCCTGGAAGCCCATGAGGAACTTTCCCCTTTCCATGGCTGCCAGCCTCACCATCCCTTCCCCAGCTCTGTCCAGAGCCATCTTCCCCACATCAGCTCTAGCTCTGGGGCACTGCCAGGCAACCCCACAACAACTCCAAACCCCCTCACCTGGAGAGTGTGACTGCTGTGTTTTTAAGAGTTATTAGGAGCCAATGAGATGGCTTAGTGAGTGAACTTGACTGTCACTAAGCCTGATGAGCTGAGTTCAATCTCCAGAACCTACATGGTGGAAGGAGAGAACTTTCTGTCCTCTGACCTCCATACATGCAACCCTAACACAAAATAAACAAATGTAAGGAGGTTGGCAGATACACTAGTCCAGATGCATGTGCTAAGAGCCCAGCACTGTGCAGACGTGTGCACGTGGCATGCCAGTTCTGAGATTCTTTCCAAATTCTGCAACCACAGTATAATTGAAACCCAAACCCATTCTGCAAAACAACTGGCTGACTCAAAAGCACCAAAGTCATAAAAACAAGGACAGCTGAGCAATGTCACCAACATGAGAAGACTAAGGAGCTGTGACAACTGAATGCCATTTGGGATCCTAGATTCAGTTCTGGAGCAAAGAAAGAACAGGAATGGAAGATGCGTGGAATCCGGATAGTGTTGCAGCACCAATGTTAATTCCTACTTTGGTAACTGAACCAGAGTTAAGTTACGTAAGACGGCTGGTGAGGTAGTTGGTAGGTCCGTAAGCTGGCCAAGGAAGCCAGAGGAAAGGAGTATGGGAACAGAACTCAACACTATTACCTCAAAATAAAATGTTTGGGAAGTAAACAACTACCAGTGTTGCGGGGACAACCACAGAAGAAGGCTGGGAGTGCAAAGGCAGTGACTGTCACCAAGGCCCTAGTGCATGATCAAGACACAGAAGCTGGTCTGCAAGGGTCCTGTCAGAGTCTACCTCTTGAGTTCAATCTGTCCAGTAGTCATGCTGTCTGTACTCTCACATTTTCTATTCCCTACCATAGACTGGGCAGAGGCTGGAAGCAGAGCTCATGGGCCTCTAGTGCCCCCTACAGGCTATTTCCTAAAAGCACACCATGGCACCTGGAGAGGAAAAGGTGTTATCTGATAGGGTAGCCTCTGAAAAAGAGCGAAGATGCCTGTCCCAGGAAGCCCACTGTTAAAAGCAACAGCTAAAGGCTAGGTAAGGTGGCATGTATTTTTAATCCCAGCAAAGGCAGAAGGATCTCTGTGAGCGGGAGGCCAGCCGGATCTACATCGTGAGTTCCAGATCAACCATGGCTATACAGTAAGGCCATGCTTAAAAAATAATAAAAAAATAAAACGGGGCCACAGAGGCAGAGGTGAGAAGGCTTTGTTGTTTAGCTGGCCACCCCCACATCTGCTTGAGAGGTGAAGGACTCCTGCTGGGGTTGCACGTGGAAGAGACAGCCTTTCCGGCAGAAGAGCTCAAATGAGCTCACGGCTTTGCAAGTCCCAGGTAAAGTATATTACTATGCAGTGATGGGGAGAGAGTGACAGAGGTTAATTACTGCATTACATAGAATAAAGCTGGCATTAGGGCTTATGCTGCAACTGACTACAATTCACTTGAGGGGAAGAGGGGGGAAAAGTATGTTCTGTTAAAGACTGGGTGAGAGGAGACTGGGGGTGCTGAAAATGAAGCAAGGCACATCTGGAACTTCGCTGTGTGGCAAGCCTGGGTCTGGAGGTGGGAGGTGAGGGCCAGTGCTGTGGCATCCCCAGATCACAGTCTTCCTCTCCATGCAGAGGCTCCAAGTTGCAGTCTCACAAGATTAACACAATCCCCATAGATCCCCCTGCTGTGACACCTCCGTTCTGCCACATAATGCCTTGAGATGCTAAACTGACTCTTGGGAGTCACCATCACAACACAAAATGCATCAAGGTGTTAGAACCTATAATGAGTCAAACACTGAACCCCAGCTTCCAAGAGCAGCAGTTGGACAGTCTGAGCCAGCAAGTAAGAGAAGCAGCCAGTGGAGTCCACAGAACCACGTGACTGCCAATAATTCTGAGCATGTGTCTCAGGGAATGGGACACTCCACGCGGGGTGAAGGCAGAAAAACCAAGATGTGGTCATATCGAAGAGGCAGACACTGCACAGGAAACATGGTCTATCAACTAGACCCTTCTGCAGCTGGAACTGTGTGTGGGAGGAGATAAGCTCACTCTCACTGAGGATCGGAGCAGATCCTGGGTCTGAGAAGCCTGGGATACTAGGAGAACTTCCTGCCACGCACCTGCTGCTGTTCGGCCATGCCCTTCTTGCCAGCACCCTCTGTTTTGGGGGAGCTGGGCTGCCCACAGAGGCCCTCTTTGCAGCTGCTGTTCATCAACAGTTTCTTGAGCTCCATGTTTTCCTCCCTGGATAAGGGACAAGTGGAGAAGTCACAATGTCAGCCCTGGGATAAGAAGCCTGCGAAGCCAAGGACGTACTGTCATGGGCACTGTAGCAGTGTCCTGGGGAGTGCGACGAGACCAGAAGGGCATCTGTGAGCTACCCAGCGCGTATACACACATCATGAGAATCCTTAACTGCAGTTTCCGCATGTGTAGGCTGTCAACGTACATGGCACCTTCAGGTCTATGTTGTTCTCGTAAGAAAGCTCTGCCCTTCTGGTTAGAGTTGAGTGTCCTGGCTCAGCTGAAGCAGGAAGGACCTGTGTGCTGCTAGGAAGTCCCGAGCACTCACTGGCATCTCTGTGCCACACTCCCTCTTTACTACAGAAACAATAGGCTCCTGGCTCGGAGCCAGTGTTGGCACAACCATCCTCACACCTGTCAGTGACTCAACTCTACTGCATGTGCTTGCAGGGTTATCTGCTGTTGCACACAGGTGTCGCTCCAGGAGAGGCCGCCTTTATAATTTGTAGTAGGAACAGTTTCCAAGCAAAGTTGGATGTGGGTGCTCACGCCTGTAACCGCAACATTTGGGAGGCAGAAGCAGAACTATGGAGCCTGAGGCAGCCTGAGCTAAACATCAAGTTCTCTGGGCTATAAAGAGGGACTGTTGCAAACAATCAAGCAGAAATATAACTAAATGAGAGCAAAATCCAAAGTCCATGACGTAGGTAGTGCTGGGGACTCAGGATGTTTACAATATGGACACATTCCCTCAGCTTCCATTTAATTACAGAAACACCACAGAGTCAAATGGCTTTTCTCCTAGCCCTTTCAGCAAGGGCTTGAATTCTTGCCTTCTCAACCAAGAGCCTTTCCTTCAGCCTGGGCATCCTTGTCCTTGACACGATCCATGTCCTCCATGAATAATGGCATATGGCTCTAAAGCCTCAACCACTGGGCCATCCAAAAGTACATTAAGACACAATGATGCAAAATGGCCCTGTGGCCATACTGATCAACAGGAAACACAGAGTGACAAGTCCTGACTCTATTGTCTAAAGGCAACCCTGTACCCTATTACCCAGAACCCTGTTATCTAGGGCTCTGTTATCCAACTCTCTGTTACCAGGACCACAGTGAGCAGGAACTGTCACTACTCTGATGAATGCCTAGGTCCTTGTGATGAGACCCTTAAGAATCCCTTGTCTCTCTCTCTGGGCCCAACTTCCATCACACAATGGTGGTTAGCCTGCATGATCTGATGGCAAAGGCCCTTTGAGATCCAGCAATCACACATTTCTGTTTCCCCAGGCCTCCTTACTTTGTGGTCACAGAGATCCCTGGTGACAAGCAGAACCTACTGCTCACTTAAGACACCCCAACTCAGTCTTGCCAAGGACAGAGAGGCTGGGGTAAATTTGTATGCCTTCCCACAGGCTTGAGTCCAGAGAGGGACTTCCAAAGAGCCCAGGAAAAGTGAGCAGAGAATGTTAACCACCAGGGGGCAGGAGAGTCCTGAGCCTACACAAATATTAGCAGTTGTCCCCGGGGGAGGAGAGCAGCTCTTAATGCTATCTATTCTGCTCCCACCCCCCAAGATAAACAAAGTGCAAAGAGTGTGGGAGATCTGCCTTCAGAACAGAGCTCTGAGGTGTGGCCTCATCTCAGGGACCAATGCTTTATGTTTTTTCTCCTGCCCTAGTCCTGGCCCAGTCTCAGGGTACCCTGGACTTACCGTAGCCTCTCAGCAGCCTGATCCCGCTGTTCCAGGCCCTTGTCCAGCTTGGCCTTCAGGGCCTCATTCTCCTGGCGCAGCTGCTCACACAAGGTCTGTGGGGTAGATGAGCAGATACAGGCGAGGGTTAGGATGGGCTCGTCCCAAGGCATGCTGACACAAGGGGGCTGGGGCTGCAGCCAGCCCAGGCAGGACCAGACACTCTATCCCTTTGACTGGCAGGACAGATGGAAGCCAGGCCACCAGGCCCATCCATCCAGGCTTCTCTTCCATGGGAGCCAGTAATGAGGATGCCTGATGGAGAATGAGTGCTGGGGTCCTTGTCCCAGAGATAATTCCCTCCTCTTCCTTTCACGGCTACCCTTGCCTAGACTGTTCCTCCATGGCAGTCCTAGCTGCCTCGCATCTCCTTTGATCTAAAAAAAAAAAAATTATTTTTTTATTTAAAACATTTTTTATTTAAAAAAAAAAATTTTTTTTTTTTCTTTTTCAGGTGAGGTTTTACGTGTAACCCAGTCAGGTCTGAAACTCACTATATACCTCACTATACGCCCAGCAATCTTCTTGCCTCAGTCCCAAGTGTGGGACTATAGGTATGAGCCTGCAGTGTTTGTTGAATGAACCAAGAAACAAATCAGAGAATGAGGAACCGAATCCAGCTTCCTCCACCCAGAGGCTGAGAAACAGAGAGCTGCGGGGACGCTGAGCAGGGACTCCAGGGAACAGAATGTCCTGCTCCTGTCCCTAAGGGAAGGCCACAGTGGCACTTCACTCGTTACACTGTCATTCCAGGTCAAAGGGCTGTTCTTGGAGCCCTACGTGGCATTATGGATGGGAGCCTCCATGCCTGGCTTGCTCACTCATTCTTTAACCAATTGTGCACAAAGTGCCAGGCGCTGGGGCATCATGGTAGGCACACTCCCTCTGTGAAGACAGCACTCAGCAGGGAGGCAAACTAAGCAAATTAACTACCCAACACAACAAACAGAACTGTTGCGTACTATGAGAGCCAGGAAAGGGATAAAAAAAGAGAGTGAACTTAAGAGGCTGGTGGACATTAGGGAGCCAGGACACATTCCCATTTGTATGGCAGAAGTTGATGCCCAGAGTGATCTCAGCCCAGATATCTAGTCAGGTTTTCTTCCTCAGGGCTCAGCTCGGAAACCCCAAAATCTTGGTGTCCTCTCAAAGAGGTCCCCTCCCCCAGCCTGGCCATGGAGGGCCTCAACTAAACATTTCTATTGCTTCTCCAGTTTCCAGAGAGGATATCCTGTGTGTTCCTTGCCATATAAACAGTGTAGAACTCACCTACTCAAGGTTGCACAGGGTGGATTCGCTCCTTTCATCAAGGTCTACTGGCACAGCTGCGACTGTAGACCATGACTGGCACAGAAGGAGAGTCTACCAGAAGTAGAAGGGGTGCTCAAATCCTGAGCAGGCCCTCCAGCAGCCTCAGGCTCACCATCTTTGCAGTGGTCAGCACTTCACTGCAAGTGGACCAAAATTAAGTGCAAAGCCCTCTGAGCTTTGCTGTGGATGGGCCCCATCAAACAAGGCTGACGGCTGACCTGTCTCCTAGCACTGGGTTCTCGATTGCACAAGAGCCTCCTCTGATGCAGTGTCCCAGGAGGGAGACACTGCTAGTTCAACTCCCGAGCGGTCAGGAAGATTAGCGACTTGTCTAAGCCATACAGCAACGAAGAACCAAGGGCAACAGAACTCCAAAGCCTGACCTGGCCGAGCAAAGGAATCAACTGTCTCCCCAGCACAGGGAGAGTTCTGAGAGGGATTTGAGAAAGGCAGCAGGTAGGGAGGGTGGCTGAGGGTATGACTTTAAAAAATGACAAATTAAAGCTGGGTGTGGTACCTCATGTCTGGAATCCCAGCCCTTAGGAGACTGAGGCAGGAAGATGCTGTGAGTCTGAGACCAGCCTGGGCTAAAAGTGAGATTGGCTCAAAAAAAGAAAGAAATGAAGAAAGGAAGAATGAAAGGAAGGAAAAAGAAAGAAAGAAGAATGAAAGGAAGGAAGAAAGAAAACAAAATAAGAATTGAGGTTCTAATATTAGCCCACCATTTACCAGCTGGTTGACCTTGGGGTTAAAAAAAAAAAAAAGCTGTTTTTTGAAGGCTGTTTGCCTATCTAGGAAGGGGTTGTATTAATGGCTCCTACTGAGGGGGCATAACTTACAAAGAGCTGCAGAGACAGCAAAGCAGGCAACAGGGGTGTGCTCAGGAGGCACAGGCAGAGGCAGGTAGATCTCTATGAGTTCAAGGCCCAGTCTACAGAGTCAATTCCAGGCCAGCTGGTGAGACCCTATCTCAACAAAATCCCAACCCAACCCAAACCAACTCCAAAAGAAACAAACAAGAACAAAGCTGGCCATACCCTGCTTGCAGGCCACACCCCTCAAAGGCAAGGGCCACCCACCTCCTGTTTCCTCACTTCCTTCTTTTTCTACACACCTTCCCACAGCTTCCTTACTGTAGTCACCACTGTGAACAAGAAGCCCCAAGTAGGCCTGGAATCCATCACTCCGAAGTCCACATTGTTAACCCCTGTACCCCACAAACAGCTTGGGGGGTGGGGGCGTGCTGGCCTGCCTCACCTGCAGGATGGATGTGCGTTGCTCATTTTTATGCACCTTGGAGGCCAACCTGTTGAACTCGAGGGCCATGCGGCCGAGGTGGGTGAAAAGCTGGCTGTGGTCCGGCTCCTCCGCACATACGCTCAGGGTGGTCTCCAGGCGCTGCAGGTGAAGCATCAGATTGCCATCCTCTGGGAGTGGGGGCCCCAGCTCCTGAGAGAGCAACGAGATGATCTTCACCAAGCCTAAGCAGGCAATGCCAGCCAATTCTCCCACTGCTTCCCCATTCCTCATGACTCAGTTTCCCCCATGGCCTCTGCTCAGCCCAGGGAAAATTTCCAGTTACACAGGTTCCCTATCTGGGGCTGACTCACAGGGCAGGACCTAGGACTTCCAGGCCACTGGCTGGCCTAACAGCACCAAGGCCATCTTCCTCCTACGATTTGAGTCCTACTGAGCACCAGAGGGCAGATGGTTCACCCTCCCCCAGGCTGGGCATCCCCTCAGCAGTGTGCATCACTTCCCTCCTTCACTGCACAGCAAAGCCGACAGGAGTGAGGGCAGAGAGGTGTCCCTAGCTGTCCACACCCTGCTTCCTGAGCTCTGGGAGGCTCCACAGGGGGTTCTGCCTGGGAGGGAACCAAACACCACCTGTTTCTAAGAATCACAGCTCTAATACTACAAAAAAAAACCCAACCTAGTGGAGGACTTTAAGAGTCAGCAGCTTGGGCAGTAGAACATCCCTACTGAGTCTCAGCGGGACTTTTCCTTCTCAAGGCATCAACCCTGGCTCATGGCCAGGCGTTAGGCCTCCCAACCGTCTTCCTGCCCAAGCTCCTATGCCTGACCCCAAGGTTCTCCGGACCACATCCCATATATCCTGATCATCACCCCAAATGTTCACACACTTCAGCCCCATCCACACACACACACAACAACAAACAACTTCAGAGAACCACCCAGCAGACGCCTCCCCTATCAGGGAATCACCTAGGAAACCCCTACCACTTCAGAGAATCAGAGCAGAGCCCCAGGGACCTTAGGGACCCCAGGGCTTAGGTTGGGACAGTGAGGAGAATCTGACACACTGACAGAATTTGTTCAGAGCAGCCCAGTCAGGACATAGCAGAGGCAGCCAACACCTGGGGTTTTCTGACTGCCCTCCAGGGCTCTGTAACCTGCTACTAAGCTCTGTGGTGACTGGGTGCTCAGCCTTGTTGGCACCACTCTCCCAATTCTGCATCCCTTCCCCACCATCTCTTCCCACAAAGGACTAGGGTGGTCAAGGCTGCTCTCTGAAGGCTCATGAAGGGCTTCAAATCCCTCAGGTTTCTCCACCTAGCCCACAAGCTTCCTGCACGAGCTGCTGTACTCCTGTCTTGGCACAGAGGAGGCACACTGACTACATAGGGACTTTTAACTCAACAGGTAAGTTGATGGCCAATGGCCGAATGCTGAAACCTTTCTAAATGAGAAAACCTTGCCTCCACAGTCAGAGAGTCTCAGAGTCCTCAGGGACAGAACAGGTGAAACAGGTGGAGAGTCATTAAGGCCCAGGAGACAAAACACTGAGGTCCTATCTCACACTCAGCATCGCCTGACAAGATGCTTCTCTCAGCACTAAAGGCTAAATGCTGGCATGAGGCGGGTTGGGAGCTGTTTGTGGGTGAACAAGAGAGTACCAGCCATCCAAACCTTCATGACTGGAGGCCACAGAGACTGCAGCATCAGTGAAGGTGAGATTGCACAGCGCTGGCACAGCAATTGAAAAAGAACTACAGTCTACAGTGGGGCACGCCTGTCACTGCAAGGACTTAGGAGATGAGGCAAGAGGCTTACCCTGAGTTCTGGGCTACAGCGTCAGACCTTGTCTCAAAAAACAAAACAAATAAAGCAGACATGCGAAGGGCCAGGCAGTAGTGGTGCACGCCTGTAATCCCAGCACTTGGGAGGCAGAGGCAAGTGGATCTCTGTGAGTTCGAGGCCATCCTGGTCTATAAGGTGAACAGCCAGGGCTAAAACAGAGAAACCCTGTCTTGAAAAACCACCAAAGAATGCGGAGAAAGGGAGGGATGAGGAAATGGTAGGAATTTAAGGTCTCTGATGAATCTTGCAGGTCTTTCAAAATAGCTTTCCAGGAAGTTTGGCATTTTAAGAAAGAACAGAAGGACCACATGGCTGGGACCAAGCACTGCAAGGTAGGAATGGGGATCTAAGGAGGCCCTCTAAAGCAGGAGGAATGCGTGCACCCCACACATGAACAGAAAGTTTAATCTCCAACCCTCCCGCTCCTGGGAGGAGTCAAGGACCTGCACAAAAGGGTAAATTACTCCCCCACCCCCAACCCCACCATAAGCACCAGGAGGAGCCTTTCCATATCCTCAGGCTTGGAGCCTGGAGACCCAAAAGGCTGAGTCATCATAGCAGATACAGAAATGATTGGCCAAGGGGCCAGTGGGGCTGGCAAGAGGCCCAGGCTTTCACAACAGTGGGGTGCCTGTGTGCCCCAAGTTGGGGAAGTCACCAGTGGGGGATTTGCATATGAGAGCGAGAAGTACCCCATGCTCTAGCCCCTCCGTGTCCCCCATGTAACTCCAGGGGACCCAAGGGATCTGGGTGGCCCTAGGGCCTGTCACGGAAGGGCAGGTAACAGAGAGAGGAAAGCAGAGGGTACGCTCAGGGGGGTTGCCTGTCTGCTCACCATCATGTTCCTAGGGTGGCTGCCAGTTTCAGGTGGCGGATTCTGCTCCTCAGTGGTAACCACTTCAAAGTCAGAAGAGGCGCCCTGTATAGAAGGCAGTTAGGGGCTGCCCGAGAGAAAGGCCTCCTACCCCCAAGGAAGAGCAGTGAGGGGACAGAAGGACACACAGGGCAGAGTTCTCAGAGGCAACCAGTCACACACCATTCACATGAGGTCACCCGGGAGCCACACAACTGCCATCACCCTCCTTGTGATCTGAAGTCATACCCCTCCATGGCCATTACCTTCTCTGTGACTCGGGGCTGCGGGGTGGGCTGACCTTGAAAACCACTATTATTTACTGGTTACCTATTTGTTCACTTGTGTGTGTGAGTGTGTGCGTGTGTGCCACAGTACATGTGTGGAGGTCAGAGAACAGGTTTTGAGAGTTGCTTCTACCACGTGGGTTCTGGGGCTAGAACTCACGTTTCTGAGTTCAGGCTTGACAGCAAGCACCTCTCCCTACCAAGCCATCTCACTGGCCCAAGGATTCTGCATTTTAAAATGTTCTCATGAATTTTATTCTCCAAAGCTACTCATGGAGTGGCTGAGAGGTTCATATACTCTTAGGACAGATGAGGAAACCCAGGTTCACAGAGTCAGTGAACAAAAGCCGGGACTTGGCACAAGCCGGTAGATCCTGCCAAAACAACCAAGCTGCATTGTTCTGTCCTGGGCTCAGGTGTCTCGAGCTCAGCCCTGGGTGGCAGCAGGCCAAACCAACCAGTCCCAGAGGCCCCTGGAGAGGACTGATCTGAGGATACCAAGGATGGGCCCACAACGCACACCAAACCAAGGTGGTGGCCGGCGGATTTGGTATTTGTCCATACCACTAAATGTTCGAAGCAGACTGCACTGGCTGTTCAACCAGCTGATGGGCCCAAGTCCATCTGAACCTGTAAGATTCCTCTTAAACCTGACCGGGGCTGAGAAGATGGCTCAGTGGGCAGAGCATCTGCTATGCCAGCAGGAGGACCTAAGTTTGGATTTCTTAGCACCCCTGTAAAAAGCATGGCTGACCACCTGTAACTTGCATCCCCAGTACTGGAGTGGACAAAGAAGGGCTTGCTGGCCAGCCGGCTTATCTGAAAAATGAGTTCACTAAAGAGATTTATTGGGATAAAGCAGAGAGCAATACAACAGGACAGGTGATATCCTCTCTGTTCTCACAAGTACACACTGGGGTATACTCCCCCTAAACCTCCAAACTCTCTGGACCTGCACAGACTATTTAGCTTTTCCTGTCCTGAGATGGGGGTAGGACGGATGGGAGAAACCAGTCCAGCTGGCCACCTAGTCACCACCACCATGACCCCATCTGTGGTCTCAGCCCTACTAGAGAAGCCCTCTCCAAACCTACACTCTCCGAGTTCCATACAGGACATTGGAAAAGGCCCTTTTCTCCTCACCATCTGATGGGTCCCTTGAGGGGTTGGCCTTACCACAGCAAGCTAAACTTCTCCACTGAACCTGCAGGAGGTGGTTTCTGAGCCTCTTGGCAGTGTGCCCTGTTGGTGAGCACGTGACATTATACACCTCAGTAAATGAGAGAAATTCCTTGCTAGATGAGGACCTTCCTAGTCATGTTAACCACGACGTCCATCTTAAAACAGCCAGCTGCCCCGCCCAGCACTCCAGACTGATAGGTGGTGGGAAAAAGTGCAGGTAACCACAAGTCCAAATGCTACTTACATTGGATGGAGGCTTGGAGGCTAGCGCAGGCTTCTCCATGGAGTTTTCTGTGGTGGTGGTGGTAGTGGTGGTACCAGGATGTACCTGGACCTGTGTGTCCTGTCCTGGAAAATCAAGGCTGGCTAAAGAAACCCACAAGGGAAGAAGCCCGAACCCAGCCCACAGGAAGAACACTTGTTGGAAGCCCTCTGACTGAGCTCTCTCGAGTCAGAGAAAACGGAGGCTGACTCTTTAAGACAAGAAGCTAGGTGAAATGACTGGCCTGCACAGTAGGGACAGAGCCTGGGTAGAGAGAGCCTCTTCCCATACCTTACTAAGAAAATTCCAAGGTGGCCATGGCTCCCCTGCTCCCCTAGACCTGCCTCAGGGATATAGAAGGAATTTTTAATTAGACAAGTGCTTTCTTTTGGTTTTTGAGAGGCTTAGGTTAACCTCAAACTTGATTTCCCAGAGCTCGGGCTAGCCCCAAACTCAGTATGCAGCTGAGGATGACACTGGACTTCCTTATCTTCCTGCCCCCAACTCCCACCTACAGGATTACAGGTGTGTGCCGCCATGCAGTTTATTCGGAGCAGCTGAAGATGGAACCCAGGGCTTCACACACGCTAGGTGGGCCTTGTACCCACTGAGCCACAGCCCCATTCCTTATGGTCTTCTCATAAAGACAGGAAGCCAGGGTTTGGCAAAGTCACCAATTTGGCCATCACTCTGTCAGCAACTGTAAAACCTGGACTCAAACGCAGCAGCTTCCTAGTATAGGAGGCCACTGCCACAGAAGCCCCATGACTATCTCCTCACAGCCCTGGGAGTGAACCTAGCCCCAGTCAGACACTGAGGACTAACAGCTGACTGGGCCAGGGAGGACTGGAATACCCCTCTGACAACAGTGTCACAGGCTCTGACACTTCCACCTTTCTCATCTGTCCAGCAAGTCTCATCACCCTTGGAAAGGAAGGTACCACAGGGGCCTGGGCTGAGATCTGAGGAGCAGCAGCAGGAAGTGCTCAAGTCTGGTGTGGGAGATCTTCTCTTGGTCCCAGACTTTGTCCTGGACTCAAGACACATTGGAGACCAACCCAAAGTCAATGTCACCCTCTGCTTTAGCAGATGGCACTGCTGAAGGTTAACGGGCAAGGACCAGAGTCCTCTCTGGGCCTCAGCCTTCCTGATCTGAAACAGAGTGGGGGAAGGGAACAGAGAACTTCTGATTCCCATGCCTGGAGGGGGGAGGGGTGGATCAAGCCTGCCACAGAGCAGCTGTACATTCAATAAGCATTCAATAAAGCCCTAAGGCCAAGTCTTAGCGGTCATGGACCAGTGTGGTGGATCACTAATGCCTGTCGGGGCACCAGGAGTGCTGAGTCACCAGTCTTCTGAGGTCCCTTACAGATCTGAGCTCCTACGGGTGCTGTAGCCAAAAGATGAGCACAGGGAAAATGGTCTGTGTGAGAAGGGGTCTGCCCTGTGCTGCTTGGGGCCTGGGCAGTCTGGATTCAGAAAAAGGCAGGGTTTCTGGATTCTTTCGGTACCTGTGAGCTCAGCCAGGTGATCAAAGGAGCCCAAGGAGGGGGCAGGTGGTGGTGGAGGCAGCTCACTGTCCTTGACCAGCTCCTCTGCCTTCTGCCGGAGCCTGGACGCTTCCATCTGAGACTCCTCTAGACGCTCCCCTAGAGACAAGGTGGAGAAGTACATGGATTTACCCAAACCAGTGCATGGTTCTCTCCATCCCGGGCCCCAAACCGGGCTGAGGTCTGACTTCCTTCCCACAGTGGCTGTGTGGGCTGTAAGTCCAAGCCTGTGTTGGCCCCCACCCGAAACAGGCCAGTGTAAGAAGAGTCTGGCAGAGGAGCTTAAGGAAGCCTTCCACCTCTGGCCTTCTCTTCCTGCCCACCTCTCCCTCCACATCTGGTCAGCCCCTTCGCTGGCTCCTGCAGCAAGTGAGGAGTTCTCAAGGGACTGGCTGCATTCTAAGCCGGTTTCCCTTCTGCAGTTGGGGAAAGGAAACGAACTCCGGCTGCTGTCCCCCACCATCCCAAGTGGGTTCTGCCAAGCAGGGAAAAAATACTTGGAAAGCCAGGGTGCTAGGCCCTCCACAGCAAGTTTGGACACAAAGAAAGTGACCTCCAGACACAGTGTGAAGACAGTGAGGAGGGAAGTCAGTGACGGCCTGGCACGAAGGAGGAACATGCAGTGCAGCGGTCAGGGGTGGGCAAGGAGGGAGGGAGGGTCGGGCTGGACAACGGGGATAGGAGCGGAAGCTGGAAGAACAGGCACTGAGCTCTGGGCCAGCTCTGCTCCTGGCCTGGCATCCAAGCCCTGGGTTCTGGGGCTGCCCTGGTACCCCGGCTCTCCTCATCTCACACACTTCACTTCTCCAACGGGAGACCATTCTGGTTCCAAATCTACATACTGGGCCTTCCACTCCTCTCTCCATGCATGCTTTCTTCTTGGCCCCTCAAAGATACCCTTTGGGATGGGCAAAGTCAGGGCTGGGAATGCCATCACCAGGCTACAGAAGTGCACACAGATGCCAGGAGCCAACACTGGGTCCCAGGGACAGCAGCATGATAGGCAGAGGCACCTGCCAGCCTTTGTGAGGGAGCTGGCATTGCAGGCTGCGGGGAGAGGGCCGACAGGGGGAGGGTCACGGTCTGCTTTACCTAACATCTTTATCCCTTGTATTTTTCCCTTCAGCCGGGTATTCTCCTCCACTAGGCGTTCAAAAGCTTCGGATGCCTCTCCCTGAGGCGTGCTGCCCCCTGGGTCGTAGATCCGGTAGGGTCCTCTCCCTTCCATGAGGGCAGTTCAAACCCTGCTGTGATGGCCACCTGGCTGTAGGGACAACGGCAGACATCAGAGGGCTGGCCAGGCCCTTAGGTCACCTTTTCTGGGGATGATGCTCTAGTCTACCAAGGCTCCAAAAAGCAGTCCCCATGACCCGGAACACAACAGCTCACATCAGGCTGGTCTGACCATAGTACTTATAGCACAGCCGTCACCTCCTTCGATGCTTTGCTTCTGTGAGCGCATCCATTTCTTTTAGCAAGTGCACTGCACTGTGGCTCATTTGCAAGTACAGTAAAGTGAAGTTTTGGGTGCGAGAGAGAATCTGGGAAAGAGTCAGGAGAGGCCTGAGCTCTTACTTGCTTCACCCTTCACAATACCCACCGCAGTATCCGTAGTGAGGTGAACACCCAAAACACACAGCACTTGAGTAAATGGCTTGGTCACAAACTGGCTGCGGGGCTGGAGGAGCCACTCGTTCTTGCCAGGAGGGTAATAAAAGCCTTAAACTCAGTCAATGATCTCTAGGTTAAGGAGGAGACCCTGGCTAAGTTCTAACACTGTCAACTTCCTCCTTGGGTTGCAGGTCAGGATTGCTCTTTCCCATCTGGTTCTAAGCGGAAGAATTTCCCATCAAACCACCATGTAGCAAGTACATCTCTTCCGTAAGCTGTTGTTTATCTGTTTTATTTCATTTGAAACTACCCTACAAGTACTGCAGGCTTCTGGTCCCAGGCCCTAGTAAAGTAGCCTTCATTCATTCACACATTCATTCATTCATGCATTCATTCATTCATTCATTCATTCATTCATTCATTCATTCATTCATTCAACAACTTCTGGGATTAGAAGGGCTGGTCTAATCCAGGTGCTGGGTCACAGCTCTTACCTTGGCTAGATGCACACAGTGCGAACCCAAAGCTCTTTAACACAGGCCAGACTGGCAGAGTTCAAGCCCATTCATAGGGTAGCCACAGGCCACCAAACAGCCTCTTGTTCAGTGGTTCAACCTTCCTGAATGCTGTGACCCTCTAATACAGCTCCTCATGTGGTGAAACCCCACCCCCACCCATAAAATTATTTTCATTGTTACTTTATAACTGTAATTTTGTTACTGTTATGAATCATAACGTTAATATGTTACCCAGGATATCTGGTATGTGACCCATGTGAAAGGGTCACTCGACTCCACCCAAAAGAGGCTGATATCCATATGTTAAAAAACTCCTGTTCTAACTGTTCCCTTCAGTGTAGAACCATTAGTCTCACGCTGGGGATGGAACCCAAGGCCCTGCACACCACCACCACCACCAACACAGCCACATCCAGAGCCCCAAAGCCATCGGCCTCACCAAGAGTGTTGGGCCAGAAGGGAAAACAAAGCTGTAACAGGCACCCCATCCCCACTCCAAGGCTTACAAACACCAGCTGAACACTCACTGCAAGAGGCACCCACACCCCGCTGGGCCCTGGGAGCCAAAGGACAGCTGCCGACACACCCACATCGTTGGTTAGGAGGGACTTTTTTTTTTTTTTTTTTAACTTGAAAGGTCAGCACGTACTGCAGAGCGGCAAACACTGATGTACCCTTGAGCAAAAGAAGACAGTGTGGGTGGAGCAGCAGGCAGGACTAGCAAACAGCTGGGTGCTCAGACCTCCAGCTGGCCTTCTATGCTTGTGACCATGTGACTGCACGTGGATGGAGCCAGCATCTGTCCATTAGCCTAACACCTTCTGGGGCAGAAACAGGCTTTACCTATCTCTTTTCCGGTCACCAGCACAGCAAGGAGGGACATCCCAAAGGGAGGAGCAGGGTTCACAGATGGGAAAACTGAGGCTACAGCCACCCTGAGTGTCTGCTAACTGCAGGTGGCCTGGCTCCCAGCCCCACTCCCTAGGGTCCACGCTAGACTCAGAGTCAACGTTAGGGGACAGTTTGGTGACTTTCTATGTGGTTTTCTCAATAGGTGGAAGCTCCAGGGAAGCAGGGAGCACAGAGGTCCAATATACCATTTCAAGGCCCAGAGCCAGAAGGGACTTACCCCACCTCTCAAGAGGCCATGTTTAAAACACCCAGTCAGACTACCATCGTTGTACCTGGTGGCAAGGTGCCAGCCCCATAATTCTAGAATCACTGTCACTGTTTCCCAGAGACACCCAGGCAAGGCCAGGTGGCAGACTGGTATGCAGGGACTGACAAGCAAGGGGTTCACAGGAAACATGACCAGAGTAGACAGAGCAATGACCCCACCATGGCCTCGTGGAAAACAGAGCTAGGGCAGGGGCCAAGCTCCCTGCAGGGTAGTAGACTCAGAAAAGAGTGGCCTGAGAGATGCCAGGAGGAAATTGGTGAGTTGTTTCCAGACAAGCTCTGGCCCAGTGGCCAACACATTTCCAGCAAGACCACTGCTGGTGAGGATCAGGAGACGCCAAGGACTAGCACCAGAAGAGTTCTCCTGAGACAACAAAGCCAATCTCACCCCGGAGGCAGGAGACACTGGCAGGGCACTGCCCGAGACTGAGAAACTGACCAAGAGAGGATGGTATAGTCTCCGAGGCCAGAGCAGGGGACAGACAGGAAGAACAGGTCCTGCCTTCTTGTAAATCTCCCTCTGGGCCCAAGCAGGGTCTGGAACAAGGAGGCCAAGGCCATACAAGGCCTTGTGGGAATACAGACTCTCCATTCACCAGGGCCCAGTAGGAGGCTGTAGTAGCCATTTATACAGAAGCCCACCATTCAGCAAGGGACCTTCCTGCAGGGAAACAGCAACACCTTACTCAAAACAGACAGACACTGATAAAGAGGCAGCCAGCTCAGGCCTTCTAAGCAAGCCCTGGGCTGCGGGGATAAAGGTGCTCCCCCTGACCCTCCCTGGACTAGATGGATCTGGGGCTACGTGATGGAACTAGAGAGGCCTGGTTTGAGGACAGAAGAGGACCCAGGGTCACAGGTCAACCAATAAGCACAGAACATGGAGATGAAGTGACACTCTGACTCTGAATGCACTGTGGTTGGAGAGCAGCTAGGGGCGTACATGGGCAGGAGGGTGGTTGAGGCAGGAGAGTGGACCCCCATCCCTGACCCATTTAAGGGAGAGAGAGCTGGAAGGATCAGAACCACATTAAGCTCATATTCTGTCCCTGACTGTCTGAGGCTGCCTTGCCACAGCTACTTTCTAATGGCTTAGGAGGTGGGAGCAGGCACCAGGGAGGAGGGGTTACTGGACCAAAGGGAAGAGCTTCCTGACCCCCCAAAGCCATGCTAATTTTCATAGCCACTAGCATTTATAAAGTACTAAGTCTCAGGCAATGTTCTTTCACTTGAATGTCCCAAAAGCCCTCGGGAAAAGGCATTGTTGAGAGGCAAGATCACCAAGCCCAGCTTGGGGACCTAAGCCCCACTAAGGCCTTTGGTTTCTGGCTGTGTCAGGGGACAGCTATGCCATACAGCTCTGGAGACAGATAAGGTCTCCTGGCACCAAGGAAATGGCCCCAGCATATTATATCATGGTGGCAAAGGTCTATGTCCCTAGCAGAGGCAGAGCTGTGATATGCCAATGGGTGTGGCTAGAACAGAGGCTGCCTGTCCCTCCTCTGTTATATGACTTGGGCTCCTGTTCTCTTCTGCAAGGAGAGGGAGCCTGAATGAGACATACAGAAGCTGCCCGACTAAATAAAGGTGGATGCTGTCCTAATGGCCAAAGGATGGAAGGGACCCAAGCCTCAAGTGTTAGAGCAGGCCAGGGAACAGAGATGTACAGCCTTAAAATCAAGAAGGCTCTGCCCAGAACCAGGAAAGGTGAGACACACAGGCCATGCACTGGCACGGTCAGATTGTGCCCTGGGGCCTCACTTGCCCCAGACCCACCTCTGTGCACCCTGCAGCTATGAGATCCTGGGCCAGTCACACAACCACTCTGAGCCTCATCTGCTCATCTGCAAAAGAGGTATATAAAAACCTACTCAGGCTAAGGTGAAGACATTAAATGGTGCATCTGTGCATAGTGGTGAAGGATTCTCACTTCAGACTTTATTTCCTAAACATGGTTTACTCAACAAGAAAACACACGCTTCACAATGAAATATACAATATATAATACAGGTATTCTAGTGTAGGCAGGTAGTTCAACATGTGGTCCACTGTAGGTAGTCAGCAAAAGGGCACGGGGATCCCTCCACTATGCACAGCTGACCTAAGACCCTCATACTCCATCCTTGGTTGGCTTTTATTTTTATTTGTTGTTTGTGTGTGCACCGGTGTGTGTGAGTGTGGGTGCTGGTGTGTGTGCATGCATCAAGGTCAACTTTCTGTGTCACTCTTCAGGAGCTGTCTATCTTCTTTTTTTGAGGCAAGGTCTCTCTCACTGGGATCTGCAGGTTCAATGATTTGGCTAGGCTGAGTGGCCAAGAATACTCAGGGAACTGCCTGTTTCCTCCTCCAAAGCACTAGGAATACAGGTATGACCCATCATGCTGATCTTTTTTGTTGTTGTTTGTTTGTTTCGAGACAGGGTTTCTCTGTATAGCCTTGGCTGTCCTGGACTCACTTTGTAGACCACGCTGCCCTTTGAACTCACGGAGATCCACCTGCCTCTGCCTCCTGAGTACTGGGATTAAAGGCATGCGCCACCATTCCTGGCTTTGTTTGTTTAATGTGAGTTCTAGGAATCTAACTCAGTCCCTTTCATGTTTATGGATCAAGCACTTCATTGTGCTTTCCTCCCAGATCTCTGCTATTTCTTTATGTACCGTGGTGCTGAGGCTAAAACCCACACGCTATGCTGCAAGCACTCTGCTGCTTGGATATATCCCCAGCTGTTAAGTTGTTGAGACAGGATCTTACTATGTAGCTAGTTTCAAACTCATTGACCTCCCTGTGCTCTCCGAGTCTTGCTGTACAGCCACGTGCAGCCAAGGACAACTTCGGATACTTGATTCTCCTGCCTACACTTCTCTATCGTGGATCACAGGCATACGCCACCACGCTTGGCTGGACTGGACATTCATTAAGACACTTTCTAGTTCTAAGAGTTCAGGATCGCACCTGC